ATGAGATGAGCGAGCACTGATGTCAACATGTGTAAAACTGAACCCCATTTATCCTCTTCTGTAATCTGGTTCCTGCCTGTTTCTGTGGTCTCATGTCATGGACTCCCTGTCTTGAATTGTATGCTATAATAAGAATATCTAGTGGTTGAGCACTTGTTTTGTGCCACAGGCATTGAGCACTTTACTTGCACTGTCATATTTCATTTTACCACATCCCTAAAGGATGGATGATGTTACTAAGTAATTTGACTGGTAAAATAATATGGCCTAGGTCATATAGCTTGGAAGTGGCAAATACAGGTCTGTGTAATACCAGGCTTGTGGCAGTATATCAGATTGCACACCATCCCTGATATTTATTACTAGTATAAGCATACTGTGCATCTTAAAATACCACAGAATCCTTTCCATCTCAGCCCTTCTAGTTTGGTATATAACTAAAGACTCACTTTTAACTGTAGTAAAAGTATCACTGTAAACTTTTAGGAAGGTCACATTATTAACTCTTTGTTGATACTAGTTCCTCAAGTAGCAAGCAGTACATCAGGTTTCCTTTAGACTCAATGCATAGTTGAGTCGAGTCGTGATTATGTATGAGTTTAACAAGCGTCTTCTCCTTTGGTTGAAGGCCCCTCTACTCAGGTGTACTCTTAGCCCCTGGCTTTAGTACCTCTACACCCTGCCAGTCCTCCTCTCCTTGGTGGCAGGCCGTGTTCCCCTGTCTGGAATCTCTTCATACTCCTACCTTCTATTTTCACCTTCCCCTTGCTTGGCAAACTTCTCCACTTTAACAGCTTAGCTGAGGCATTGCCTTGTGTGAGAAGCTTCCTTGACCTTCTGTATCTCCAGGCTGGGTAAAGTCCTCTTGCTCTATTACTTTAATATCTCGTATAGATAGATGAGCATACTCAGCGGTCATAGTGTCACAGTATATTTGTTTATGTTTTAGTCAATTACATTAGAAGGTGAGTTCTCTGAGGTAGAAAACCCTGTCTCAGGCATGTTTGTGTCCATAATACCTAATGCACTTTTATCAATTACTGTCTGGTCAAATGACTAAATGATTGTTTTTATTGCTAGTATCAACTTTTCCTGACACTATAAACTTAAGAACACTGTATATGTATATTTTTCAATTGAAGGGTTAATGTATTTGATTAATAATCATGAGGTTAAAAGGCAGAGTTCTTCCATCTTTCTTTTGTCACATAGGCACAGCCAGCTGTTCCTAATCGGTGATAATTTACCAGACAGCTATGACATGCACGTTTTGACATGTATCAGATTGTACATCTTCATTTTTTAAACGGTTGCATAGAATTTTGAGCGTTAGGTGAATGTTAACCTTTTAAACCCATTCTATTCGAAGTATTAATTTAATGTTTTGTTATCAGACATTGCAGTAATTCATGCGGTGATTTTCATTTGTACTGCTAATGTTATGTTTACTCATTAAGATTTTAATTACCCCAAATATTCAAGTCATGTTTTCAAGTATATGGCATAATCTAAAAAATCAACTACCTTCAAGAGTAAAAAAGAAATCCAAAGAGACTTATTTTGTGCCAGTCTCAGCATAATTATAATTTTTCAATGTGTTATTTTCATGTTTGAAGTACTTTTTTTTTTTTTTTAAACATAGCCTTACTTTAAAAAAGGAAAGCTTTTAAAGTAAAAAGCTGGAACATCTGGGTGGCTCAGCAGTTTAGTGCCTCCTTAAGCCCAGGGCGTGATCCGGGGAGTCCATGGATCCATGGATCGAGTCCCACATTGGGCTCCCTGCATGGAGCCTGCTTCTCCCTCTGCCTGTGTCTCTGCCTCTCTCTCTGTGTCTCTCATGAATAAATAAATAAAATATATAAAAATAGATATAAGTAAATAAAATAAAAAGCTAATATCCTTGGTAGCAAGCTTTAAAGAACAGTGTTTCAAATGTGTAATAGCAATTATTTGGAAGGTTTTTTGTTTTGTTTTTTTACCTGAAGTCTTGACAAGAATGGAGAGAAAACATAAGAGGCAACCTGAGTAATAGAGAATGAGGGGCCATTTTCCTTAAAAAAATATATTTGAGATTTTTCACTTTGGCTTATAAGGCATGAGAAAGCATCAGTTCCGTGATATTCCTGGGAATTGCTGACCTGGTTGCAGCTGGTCCCCCTTGACTTCCAGAGCAGGTGTGGTTGTCTGCTCTCTCTTCTTGGGCTGCCTGGGCTTCCCCATGGCAACAGTCGTCATACATACTTACCTAGCACCTTTTTTCTTTTTTTTTTTTAATTAATTAATTAATTAATTTATTTATTTACGATAGTCATACAGAGAGAGAGAGAGAGAGGCAGAGACACAGGAAGAGGGAGAAGCAGGCTCCATGCACCAGGAGCCTGACGTGGGATTCGATCCCGGGTCTCCAGGATCGCGCCCTGGGCCAAAGGCAGGCGCCAAACCGCTGCGCCACCCAGGGATCCCTAGCACCTTTTTTCTTGCTCTCAGATACAGAAGGGCTAGGGATTGTGGATGTTTGCTGCTGTTATAAAAGGTATTTAATACATATTTATAGAGTAAATGATGCAAATAAGCATAATGTGGGCCTTTTGTTCTCTAATAGTAATCATTTTGGTTCATGGTTATGTTTGAGCATGAGAGATCTTGAAATGCATTATAAATTTTTCAAAGGGAAATTGAATTAGTTTTAATGTTATTTTAATCTAATTCATTGTATATCTAGTAACTTAACTTACCTAAAATATTATATAAATGCTACATTATCCATCTCTTTTGGATAGACATTTACTATATTTTAAGAAATTACTCTGTGTTTATATCTTATTTGATATTTGGTAGTTAGGAATTCTTCAAAGAAAATAATGATACTATACTCCGAAATACTGTTCAGCTTTCCTTAAGAAGTAAACTCATGTTTTCCAAAGTTGATAATGCGGGTACAATTTCTACGTACATAGAGGTGTCCAGACTTCACATACTACCTCAGGTCCGTAATCTGTCATGGTTCTCTTTGGCATTGCTACTGACCTCCCACTTGCTGACTAGGGTTGGGAAATGGGGAGGCTGCTAATTGTGGCTTACTGTATTCTTACACTGATTCAAGATTGTACTTCCCTTTATTCCCCATGGTGGGTAGAGACAGTTGAACATTTAGAGGACTGGTTCCTGGCTAACAAAGGAAGTTAATATGGAGAGTAAACTAACTTCATTCACAAAAGTTGAAGTCCTCACCCTTCACGAAGTACAAGGCCCTACGTGATCTGGTCTCTCCTCAGTTTCTGACTCCCTGTCCTTCTTTCCTCTCCATTCTCACTGGGTTTTACCACACTGGCTTGCATGCTGATACTAGAACATTCTTGCATGCCCCCACATAGTGGTTTTGTCCTAGGTGTTCTCTCTTGACCCAGATGTTTGCATGACTAACTCGCTCCTTCAAGGCCTTGCTTCTCGTGAGGCCTGCCCATATCACCCTACACAAAACTGCAACCCAGCTCCTATCCCCGCTCCTGCTTCTTTCTAGCCTGCTTTATACTCTGTTCTTTTTTTTTTTTTTTAACATACTTAGTTCTTGTATTTATTATTATTGCCTCCTGCCACTAACATGTCAGTTTAGTTAGGGGAAGAATTTCTGTGTTTGTATTTTTGCTGTAGTAGTTATTTTAACAAACAGGTGTATCTCAAGTACTTAGAACACTGGTGTCTAGTGTACAGAGATGATGGCCAGTAACTATTTGTTTAATAAATGACCAACTTGGTTTTTGCAAGACCGAGTTTGTTCTTCCTCAGTGTATGACCTGTAACTGGACTGCCTTACACCTTCAGCTCTGTCCTTTCTTTTTGTTATATGGATCCTTTGAATACATCTGTAATAAAACAAAATGAAACAAAAACAAACAGATCCAAGAATCAGGGTTAGAGAGATGTAAGAATACGGATTCTTAACATCTAAGTTCTGTGTTTGGGGTTTTTTTTTTTTTTTTTAATCCCTTTTTGGGATGATTGTTAGTGAAGAATGACTTGGCTGAAACCCTGACTGTAGCCCATGAGCATGTGGCCCTGTGGCTTTAAAGCAACAGGCTCCACAGCCGTGTTACGCTGTGGCTTTGTCTCTGCGTTCCTAGTTCCCAAACTTCTCTTGTTAATGGCTGGTCTTAGCTCTTAGATGATGTGATACGTTAGCCTGACACAGAAATGAGCTGTAGTGTGGACTGTATTGCCAAGATAAAAGAACCACTGTAATAGGTTTGTTCTTTTTACCTATCCCAGGTTTAAGAAGTCTCTAGGAGTCAAGTGATTGAGGTTCTGGTTCTGGCTCTAAGCGACTCATTGTCTCACAGCTCTGAGCTTATGTTTCTTCAACTGTAAAATTGCACTAGACTATTTTTTTTTTCCTGATTCTGTGAAATTTGGCTATATCATCAAAAATATTTTAAGCTTTGTGATTGTAGGAGCCCTCTTTCAAAATATGAATGTGTTACCACTTGAGTTAATAATCATGTTATTATACTGTATTTAAGATTTATACCTGGTAAGGTGTTTGCTGCATATCTAAAAACAAGTGAGCACACCAGTAGTGCCTAGAACCGAACAATAATTCTTTTCTTAAATATTTTACAAGAAAAAAGATTCATGATAATCTTTAGAATTCAGTTAACCAAAAAATTAAGTCTTTAGCCATGATAAGTAACTCATGTGTTAGAATCCTTCTCTCCTCCTTCTCTTTTATTCTTTCTCGACCTTTTGCACTATCTCTTGTACAATCTTCTTTTCTTTTCTTTTTTTTTTTTTTTGCTTATAGAACAGAAGGATGATACTTTAAAGGTATTTCTCAAGAATTTGCTTTTGGAATCTATTCTATTCACTATTGAACTCCCTGGGGTCTAGAAGATTGTCTTATACATAGTAGATCCTCCATAAATGTTGCTTGAATGAATGAATTTGCTTTTACTTTTCCCCAATATTAATTCAGAAAGTGATTTTTAAATTTTTATTATTTTAAGAAAGGTGACTCTTGTGATGGTGGGACTTGATAATGCTGGTAAAACGGCAACGGCAAAGGGAATCCAAGGAGGTAAGCTGAAAATATTCATTATTAAATTATTCTGAATTGTTTATTTAAGTTGCTTTGTTACGTATTCATTTGGTATAGATGGTGTACACTCCATTATTTTAAATTTTTAAATTCTTAATGGCTAATGTGGTGAATAGACTCCAGCTTATTAGTACCCGCCTGTTAACATGTTTCAGATTTGAATAAGTGCAGAGATGCAGAGGATCCTTGAAGTCTTCAAGGAAAGGCATTTAACATCTTGACCTGGATTTGAAACATGTAACTTTGAAAAAATTACCTAATCGGACTTGTTTCCTGGGAATGTTGCCATTATTTTATCTGTACTTACATCTCTCTCCTGCTCAGAATGTTCTTCTCCCTTCTTTGTCATAATTATGTAGTTTTTAATTCTTCATTTTTCTTTCATGGCCTTTCTGAAGACTTTGTATATCATAACTTTCCCCTCTCTCCTCTTTACCTTTTTCCTCTTGAATGCCGTTGGTCTTAGTTTGGGCTGCTTATACCAATATCATAGATTGGGTGCCTGAAACTACAGTCATTTCTACAGTTGTGGAAGTTGGAAGTGTGAAGTTGGAGTGGCAGTGCAGTTGAGTTCTTGATAAGGGCTCTCTTCCTGATTTGCGGGCAGCCGTCTTCCTGCTGCCTCCTCCTGTGGTACTGAGGCAGGAAACAAGCTCTGGGTGCTCTTCCCAGAAGTGTACTAATCCCATCATGGGAGCTCCACCTTCATGACCTCACCCAAAGCTAATTACCTCCCAAAGGCTCCACCTCCAAATACCAGTACAATGGGGATTAGGGTTTCAAAATAAGAACTTTGCCAGGACAGGGAGCACATGGCCACAGGACACAGACATGCAATCTAGAACATCCTCACACTATCCTCTTTTTCATAGAAATACAGGTTCTTGTGTTATTTCCCATTAATATATATCTACCTATATTGTACTGAATGTTCTGTGAGGACACCAACCCTAGCTTACTCATCTTTATATCCTAATGCCTAACAAAGCCCTCTACCTGTTAGCTAGCTCCCTTATCCCTACTCCAGCATTGTTGATTTATTTTCACTGATAATTTCCTGGGGGTATCTCTCACATCATACTCAAAGACTGCTGTCTATTTTAACTATGGAAACCAGTTCTGGCCTGGACTAGATCCATATTTTTGAATGTCTGGTGTAATCCTGTTTGGGGAATATTGTGCTGCTTAAATTGCTTCTAAACTTTTTTCTAGTAGATAATGAAGGTCTTACAAAATTATGACATGTAATTTTTTTTTTTTTTTTTTTTTTTTTTTTAGCTCTCTAGGGAGCTGTTTAAACTGCACTAAGGTATTTGCTGCAAGGGAGTAGTACTTTGCAAATCTGTTCCCCAGTGACACCTAAGCCTAGCAGCAAATGCCTTTCAGATTTTTCTTTGTAATAGCAAATGTTTTGCTGAATGTGGGAATGATAAGTCCACCTACACTAGTGTTAGGTGTCTCACCTAAAACAGAGCCTTCTGCAATGACTGGAATGTTCTATATTGGTTCTCTCTAATAGTAGGGTCGGCCACTAGCCACCTGTGGCTTTGAGCACTTTAAATGTAGATAGTACAGCTGAAGAACTGAAATATAGTTTCATTTTAATTTAAAAAGCCTCATGTACTTTGTGGCCATTATATTGCCCATGCAGCTGTAAACAAAGTCCAATGGACTACTATTTGTTGTGGATTCTGGTGATGAAGAAAGAATGAGAGAGACAAGCATGAGGTTTGAACTGTTCTTCAAAGCCATGGAGTCACCAGGTTCTATTAACCTTTCATGAGTTCTCTCTTTCCATTCTTCTCTTTTTATTTTTATATCTGTCTGAAACATGGCCATCACTCTTATTTCTAGTCAGTTCTAGAGACTTTGTAAAGATGTTTCTTAATAAAGCACTACTTTAGTCACCTTACTTATATTGGTCTGCTGAAATAACTTCCCTGGCTCCTCATTCTTTCCAGAACTCCCCTCACTCTGTGTTCACGATCTAAAGAGTTTACTCCTGGCAGCCCCGGCGGCACAGCGGTTTAGCGCCGCCTGCAGCCAGGGGGGCGATCCTGGAGACCCGGGGTCGAGTCCCACGTCGGGCTCCCTGCATGGAGCCTGCTTCTCCCTCTGCCTGTGTCTCTGCCTCTCTCTCTGTGTGTCTCTCATGAAGAAATAAATAAAATCTTTTTAAAAAATACTTTAAAAAATAGTTTACTCCAACTGCAACATTCAACTTGTTTGTACTTTCTTTCCAGAAAAATTCAATTTTAAACATATGAGAACATCCAAAATGTGTCCCTGTAGAATTAATGAAATCTACTCTATATTTGCAAGCTGCCCAGAAAAGTTTCTTTAGTCCAATTATAGTTTTAATTCAGTAATTAAAAAAGAGAGTCTACTCGTAGCTTCTCCCACTTTTTTGGTTCTTCTCAACTATTCTTTAAATACTCAGTTTTTCTTTATAACATCACAGAGGTTGTAATATGCCTGGGGATGGCTGTGGTATAAAGGGCTGAAATTTTTATTATTTGTAACTTGGAGAGTTCATTTATTTATTCATTCTATGGATATTTATTAAGTACTTGTTCTGTGGTAGAGAGCTAGCGTTATATCAGTGCAAAACAAACAAAAACCAGAAATTTTTATCTACATAGAGCATAAATTTTAGTTGGATATTTTATAATATCCACCCTTCTCCCAAACCAGTATACTTAGATATAAAGGTTAGTGTGTAAGCAAATAATAAACATTCCATTTAGGGCTAAATTATGATGAAAAACACTTTTTATGTCATTTAAGTTGTGAAGTTAATGTTATTAATTTAAAGTCTAAAGTTTGTTTCTTTTGTATCATTTGAAACAGAGTATCCTGAAGATGTAGCTCCTACTGTTGGATTTTCCAAAATCGACCTTAGGCAAGGAAAGTTTGAAGTCACCATCTTTGATTTGGGAGGTGGAAAAAGAATTCGGGGAATCTGGAAGAATTATTATGCTGAGGCCTATGGGGTAATATTTGTTGTGGATTCCAGTGATGAAGAGAGAATGGAAGAGACAAAAGAGACAATGTCAGAAGTGCTGAGACATCCTAGGATATCGGGAAAGCCTATATTGGTGTAAGTAATGCTGGTGTCATTGTAAACACAGAAGCAGTGGCATTAGCCAATAAAGAAATTTACCTAAGTTACAAAATAAGCTAAAATTGTCACGTCCTAGTATAATAAAATGTGATTAACTGGGTATTATTAATATAGTGAGGCCCTGTTATGTTCTCCATAAGGATTAGGAATTGGGGTATATTAAGAATAAAAGTTAGACTTAGATCTTCTGGGTATTCAAATATAAACTATTTTATTTGATAATTTACTTGTTATCAAACTCTGCATTTTGAAATGGCCTATTAACAAGGTTCTAGAATGTTTTTCCACTTTTTTTCCCCTCTTAATAACTGATGTTTTGCCTTTGTCTTGTCTTTCTTAGAGTATTCTTGTTTGGAAATTATTTAAAAGCTTATTCTTCTAATGCCACATTGATTTCTAAATTTGTATTTCAATATTTCCAAATTGATTATGTGATCTGCGTTGCTACCAACTTAATCATATGCTTATATCATTTTGTCTAGCTGCCTAAGCATTTTTTTAAAGTGACAAAGGACTTTTACACCACCTGCCCTCACAGCCTTTCTGCATAGTAAACACCAGATGGTGCTGTAACTCTAAGACATAGGAAAGGGAAAGTCCTTTATATTGCTCTTAAAATCAGAGTGAGCTGAATGTGTGTGCCCTTGCCTTCTTGTCCCTTTGTCCTCTTGCTTGTTTCATTTCTGAGGATTAAAAAAAAAAAAAACAAAACAGCCAGCTTAATCATGTGGGTAAATAAGAAATTTTAAGCAGAGTTTCTCAGTGGTCCACAGCGTAAATGAATATTTTTAAACAAAGTAGTTTGGAAGATCTGATTACACAAAGTAAGACTTCATGGCATCATTTATTTATACAGGTTATATGGCTTAATTTTTCACCAATTAATGAAGTTATTTGATTTGTGTAATCAGTTCTCACCTTTATTGAATCTGAAGGAAAGTCTAATAGATATTTATATGAAGAATGAACTGTGTTGAACCCCGTAGGCTAAAATAGTCTCTACACATTTAAGCAAAGAACTAGTGACTTCTAAAGTAAAAAGTGTTAAAGATTGAGATGACTGATGCTCATGTGTAAAGTAATTGTGTGTTCATTTTTTGACCTAATATTTATTCTTTCATTTATTCATTCATGAATGTGTTAATTCAGCAAATATTTGTTGCACATCCACTATGTGCTAGGCATTGTTCTGGTGATGGGGATACATTTGGGAACAAAAACAATTTAAATCCATGTATGACCTCAGAAGCTTAACATTCTAGGGGGTGATACACACATAAATGTAATAAATAGTTATGTGGTAAATTAGGTGATAAATATATTGAAAAATGCAGGTAAAAGATCTAGGATCCTATAGTGGTGCTATGACGGGTATGTTATTCTTATAATTAGGATGATCATAGTAAGTCTTATTGAGGAGATGACACGTGAGGGGAGAGAGGCCGTCATACAGATGTATGTATGTGGAAAAGCCCTGAGGCAGGAGCATGCAGTTCGTAACTGACTACAGTTAGCACCAAGTGATCAAATAATGGTCATCAAGAGACCTGCTTTCAGTTCTCTCACCTCCTCCCTCATCTAGTAGATTTTCAGAATAGTGAGGAAAAAAATTCTGAAAATTTTCATCAGTATAGGGGATTGTTTCACTATTATAATTTCATGGTGAGATCTCGCAAAGACATGAGAGTTAATAATGGATGCTCTCATGCTTCTGAGATATAGAATGGTTTGTCATTTGACCAGTTTTTTCCAGGGGAATTTTACAACCAAAAGATCTTTATTAATAAAGGTAAACTGCTTTTGAAATGAATGTGCTTTGAAAATTTACAAAATGTACAAAATGCACATTTTTAATAAATTTAGTACACATAGGGGAAGAGTGAGTCAAAAAATGTTGATCGACCATGCAGAGCCAACCACTGCTAACATTTTGATGAATTTCCTTTGCATATTTTTGCAAAATTTGTAATGTATACAGTTGCATATAATATATAAAATTTCGTATCCCATCTTTATTTTTTTAAATATACATTTATTTATTTGTTGGTTATTAAATAAGCTCTTGTGACCCTGAGATCTACAGTCACATGCTCTTCTGACTGAACCAGCCAGGGACCCTCTACCCCACTTATTTTTTATGTTTCTAAATCCCTCTTAAATAACTATCTAAAACTCATATTTGGAAATTCTCCTATTTACCTATTTCTCTCTGATTTATAAGTAATTTCTCTTATTATGTCACTGTCCTGATATTGTTTGAGTCTCTCCTTCTCTCTGGTCCCCTTTATACTTCTCCCCTGTGTTCCTGGTATCAGCAGTCTCCTAAGCAGGCTCCCTGCAGTCTTGCCCATCCTCCCAAGTTCTCCTCTACATTGCTACTAGGAGCCTTTTTCTTTATTTGATGTTTTTCAAATTCATAAAATTCGGCGTTTCACCAAAGAAATCTGATGTTTTACAAAACTGGTACCTGCTTTAACAAGTGAAAGAATTCAAGAATATATTAAGAGTATGAGAGCTCCTTTTAGAGTACACATTTAGTCATTTTACAGTTCATCTGCTTCCAGTCCCTTCAGGTTGCCTTCACTGCTCCATGCAGATGAGAAATTCTGTGTAACTGATCCTGCCCTGGCACATAAGAGGTATGCCAAAGAATACTGCACTAGGTAGTAAGTGGGAAGGGCCTCCGGCAGAACCCTGCTAAGCTCAGTGCTCGGGCCTGGTGTGTTGTGGAAATGTAGATGGAGGGTACCTGAATTAGGAGGCAGGCTACAGTGCTCCTTGTTGCACTTAGCAGCTTCCTTCCAGCCCACAAACATCTGGACCTATCATGGGCAAAATTCAATGACAGCATCTAATTTCTTCTCTTCATCCCTGTGTGAGCCTCAACTAGCTGATTTAGGATCCACAAAACCCCACAACTCACTTAAATACCTAGATAATTTTCGGGGCTCCTGGATGGCTCAGTCAGTTCAGTGGCTGCCTTTCGCTCAGGTCATGATCCTGGGGCCCTTGATTGAGCCCCGTATTGGGCCCCCTGCTCAGGCTCCCTCTCCCCCTGCTCCTCCCCCTGCTCATGCTCACTCTTTTTCAATTAAATAAGTCAAATCTTAAATATGTCTAGATAGCTTTTTCTTCCCACCTTCTAATTATGAACAGTGAACAGTATAAAACCTCTGAGAAGATTCAGTCATTCAACAGAAATAAACCTTAAAAATTAGAACATTGTTTATAATCACAAAACTACAGATTGATGGAACTGGGATTCATTCATGCTATGGGCAGCGAAGTTAGATGACTACAGCAGCAGGACCTGGGCCATCTCTGGGTCTGCCTGTCTTGTCCTTGCACACGAGCCTGACAGCATGTGTCACTACAATGAAGACATAACAAATTCACTTTACGTCATAGACTTGAGGGTTCTCTTGAAAGGTCAGAATCATAGAACATCACTAGGCTTCTGTGTTTTATTAGCTCAGAAATTCTGTTTTACAGTTCTATAGCATTTACTACTTAATGAGCATAATATTTTGATTAAAATCTCTGAAATAGTGGTGAAAAGTTGAAAAATCATGGATTTAGAGAGAAGATGGAGAGTCTGGAACCTGGATCCTGCAAGTTGGTGTGAATTTATGACCCTGGAAAGTCACTCTACTTCTTTGGACTTGGTGGTTAACTGCCTCTTCTATACTAAAAGTAGCTGGAAAATTTTGTAATTCTCCTTCTGTATTCAGCTTATAATTACGTGAACCATACTATATTCTTACTATTGTAAGAATCCATTTTAGTAGAAAAGTACAAGTGATTAAAGAGATGTTACTCAAATTTCTGCTCTGTAATCATGTTAACCTGTTTATTTACCTAGAAAGTGTTCCTTTTACTCTCATAGCTACAATAGGGATTAACTTATGTTCTGATTAAGGTTTGAATTATATTATCTGCCCTCATGTACCCTCCTATACTCTTGCTTTAACAATTTATAAATTAATTAAAAAAAAACAAAATTAGATACTCTGGACAGATAAAGACTTTTCCAATAGAAAAACAACTTTTGCAATTGTATCAATAGCACTGGAATCACCATAATCCCTAATTTCTTGCTTAGTTGAAATATAGTTGACATATACTATTAGTTTCAGGTGCATAACATAGTGATTCAACAATTATGCATATATTACAAAATGCTCATCATGTTAAGTGTAGTTACCATCTGTCACCATACAGTTATTACGATATTACTGACTCTATGTCTATGCTGTTCTTTTCCTTCCCATGACTTATTTTACAGCTGGAAGTTTACCTCTTAATCCCTTGTACCTATTTCACCTACCCCCACTCCCCTTCCAACACTAAGCCCATAGAAGTTTTTCATAAATAATACAAGGCACTATTTGTTGATGCCTCTGGAAAGAACTGAGCTGAAGCTTTCCTTTTTTTATGGTTAAAACTCCTCTAATACTTAAAACTGGGATAACTCGAGATCCGAGGCTAAAATTTCCTCCCAGGACAATAACAATTCTCTTGTGTTAGCACATTTGAACTTGGAATGATGCCACTTCCTCATTACATACTGTCTGTTTTCCTGTGGAGCTATATGACCTATCTTTTGGCCAAACATTGTACATTAGATGCTTTGCAGCAAAAGTAATAAATATAGAGGAGTTTTATTCAGGGAAGAAAACCGTATCTCTGATATGATCTTACTAGGTGTTAGGAACATTTCAATAAAAAATATTTTTTTGACCCAGAGGTCTTTGTCCTATGATGGCCTCCCAGGACCCTCTGAGATCACATACACAATCCTGAGTGCATGTGCACTTTTCTGTGGGAACAGATCCTAGCTCATCAAATTCCTAAAGGATTTCATGACCAAAAAGGTTAGAAACCATGACAGTGAGTTTCCATATTAGGAGGAACAATAACCAGGGTTTTATTATTACTTTTCCAATAGAAGATTTTTGTTTCCAGACTTTATATGCCTACTTGAGCCAACTTTTTTCTAGATAGTATTATAGGAAAATGTTAGTTTACAATTTTCTTTGAGTCATATTCTTTATTATAAGTGCTTAGAAGCTAATTAAGGTTACAGGTTACTCTAATACTGTCATAAAAATTTGAGGAAAATGCACTTTTACCAAGTTAGACCTTTAAATAATAAATAGGAGAACCTAAGTCCTTTATAGTTTGCTAGAAACTCATAAGTACGCAAGTATGGACTACCTATGTTCCTTACTCCCTTGATCCCTAGATATAGGTGGTGAGTCCTTTAATTGACTATTTTTAAGATTTCTCTTCTTTTCACAGTGAATCTTAACCAAACTGTCATCTTCATCCACCTTATTCATATTGTTGACTCACCTCCAAACTTCCTTACCAAAGCCTTCCTTTTGTGTCTCCTGGCATTCAGCTTCACTCTTGGCAGCTCTAGTTTATAGTGAAGCTCCTCAGCTGGTTGACTTCCTAGGTAATTGATGCTTAAGGAACCTTCAGAAGTTCCCATCATTCCCTTCTCCACAGGAATACACTTTATTTAAAAACAGTATAACAAAAAGAAACCTGCTGGTAGTGTTGTTAGCAAGATGTTTTCTGGGATCCATCTGCATCAGCATCCGCCCACACCTTTTAGCTTTTTGAGGGTGGGGCCAGGGAATGGGCTTTTTTCACAGGTTCTCCAGATCATTGTGATGCACAGCAAAAGTTGAGAACTACTGGTATAGGGGAAAGCACGGCTTTGGAGTCAGACAGGCCTTGGGTAGCTTCCTTGCTCTCTCTGAGCTTTCATGTCCCCATTTGTAAATAAGGATTTTAGTGTTGTCATGTGAATTTCAAATGATGTATTTATAGCAGCCAGTGCAGCACTTTATTAGTGTTCTGTAAATGTGATGATGGATATGAATAGTTATTGTTGTTGATACACTGTGCCTGGATGGAGATGGATTAGGAGAGCCAGTTTTAAAGTGTCTCATCATATGAATTCAGGCCACATGAAGCTTCTGATTACAGAAAATGACATAATTTAGGAGGTGAGAATATAAGCCCAAATAAGTGCTCATATTAATTTTACCAGATTTCCTAATATCATACCTCTAATGCTTAATAATTTTTTCTCTTTAAGGTAGTAATTTTAAGGAAAAAAATTACTTTTTAGTACCTATTGAGTGTGTGAATAAAGTATTTACAAAATGTTCAACTAATTAAGTATCCTGTTGTTTTTGTTGCTTTAGTTAGGGGTTTCTTTTGTTTTGTTTTAAGATTTTATTTATCTGAGATAGAGTGAGTGCACATGAGCAGGGGAGAGGGGCAAAGGAAGAAGGAGCCTGACGTGGGGCTTGATCCCAGGACTCTCAGATCATGACCTGAGCGAAAGGCAGACTGAGCCAACCAGGCGCCCCTCTTTTTTTTTTTTTTTTTTTTAAGATTTTATTTTTAAGTAATCATTATACCCAACATAGGGCTTGAATTTACAATCCCAAGATCAAGAGTCATATGCTCCACTGACTTATCCAGCCAACCAGGGGCCCCAGGGTCATTCTAATTGGTTTTAAAATGTAACAATGAAAATTATATGTGATACATGTGATGTATTGCTTGTTATAAATCTTTCTGTGCTTAAATCTTGCTTTAAAAGCACTATGTACAAAAATAAATAAATAAAAGCCCTATGTAAGATATAAATGCTAATAGAAAATTGCTATTTTACAAAGCCACCTGAACAAAATTATGTTAGTGAATATTAAATAATACTTAATATTCTCAGTTTCCATGATAAATAATTTAGGACCAGTTATAAACAGGCGTCAGTAAGGTTAAAGGAAATAGTACAACTTTAGAAGGGACAGAAGAAATTTATCACCAGCTGATTAAATGGAGAGTTTGTCAGTGGTTTTAAATTCATCTTTTTTTTTTATAAAGTTCTTTATACATTTGGAGCTGACACATGTGAAACATTTTTTCTCCAATAATACTTGATAATTGACAAAGTAGAAAGCTCTTTAATCTCCTTATATTTTATAATTTAGAAATTATTTTATAGTGTTAGTAGATATGTATATTCGTGCTGTCCTTTAATTTCATCATGCTTTCAGTCAATTATGTGGTCTCAGTTCTTTAGGAAATAGAAACTATTACATGAGAGTTCTCTCATTTAGGACCACATTTTTGCTGAACTATCCTTATCAGCTTTTCTTCCTGAATGTTGCCTTCTCTCCTAGTACTTGGAAAACGTGCTTCAGCTCCTCTGTAAGGCCAGCTTCTTCATCTGTGCTATAGGTCCCAGCCCTTCCTACTTTTGCATATAATTCCTTCCCTGTCTTATATCAAGACTTTGGCTCTCTGGATCATTCCCGTCAGTGGGATAGTCTTGCCAACTATTATGGAATCTTTTGACTCTGCATTCCTCTTCAGCAGGTAGTTCCTTTTTATAGTCCTCTATTCACATGGCTGGAGAGAATAGTTTATAGCAGCTGCTATACTTTTTCATACGACCTTCTTTCTTCCACATACTCCACTTGTGCTTAGATACCTACCGTTCCTTGAAACTGCTCATGTTGTAGTCAACAAACTGTCTCCACGTTGCCAAATCCATTTATCAGCGTGCTGTGCTCAAGTTCACCTTTCCCTCAACATTGTTCTTTTAACACAACATTGCAGCATGCTTTTTTGGTTTTCCTTCTACTTCATTGATGGCTTTTTCTCAATCTCCTTTATTAACTCTTGCTTTAGGAGGAAATGTTGGGATACTCCAGCCTCTTTTCTGGGCATCTGGTTTTTTACATCTACAAACTTCTTGGGTGATTTCATTCTAACATCACCTGACCTTAAATATTGTTTATTCAAAATGACCCAAATCTATATTTCTAGCCCTTACCTCTTCCAAGAGCTCCTGCTGACACAGCTAATATCTTAGAAATATCCACTTGGGCCTTTTATAGTAATCTCAGGTTTTCTTGGCCAAAACAGGATTCTAGATTTCCCTTTTACCCCCAATTCTGAAACCCTTATCTCTGCCTTTTTTTTTTTTTTGATGACATCCTCATCCAGTCAGTATCCTATAGATTCGAGTTCTTAAATCTATCATAAGCTAGTCTAATTTTTTTTTCTTTCATCACTACTTGTATAGTATGTAGTAAAGAACTGCTTCTAGAATCAGACTGCCTGGTTCAAATTCTGATCCTCACAGTTTCTGTGACTTGGAACAGGTTACTTAACCTTGCTGTACCTCAGTGTTTTTGTTGTTAAAAATGTAAAATCATTAGAACAATGCTGAGATGTAGTACATATTTTATTAATCCTGAGTATTAGTACTGTCACCACCACCACCTCTACTCCCATTCTAGTCCATGCTTCCACCTCTTTTACTGGGCTTACTGCATTAACCTGATTGTTTTCTATACCTGCATACTTGTCCTCTACTCATCTGCCCCAAACCCATTCTAACCCACATACAGTGGACAGATTGATTTTTCTCAAATATAAATTGTATAACACTATTTTCAGGCCAAAACAGTCTGAGGACTTTGCATTGATTAAATTTGCTGTAAAGTTTGAACTTATGTGGCTTACAAAGGCTTCAGTCTAGCCCCTGGTGACCTTTCTTAACTTTATCTCTTACCTTGCTACTCTTCCCTTACCATGGTACAGATGTATTACTCACTTTTCTTTAAGCAGAATACGTTATGTCATCCTCAAGGTCTTTGTAACTGTTTTCTATGCCTGGGATATACTTTTACTTGTCTTAATCATTCAGATCTTCATTTACTATTACCTTTCAGAGAGACCCTCACTGACCACCCAACCAAAAGAAGCCACTCCAACCATCTGTGTCTCAACGCCTTGTTTTAAGTTTCTACTGAGAACTTAATATTATCTAATATTTATATTTGTTAGTTATCTGCTTTGTCCACTAAAATGTGAATTCCAAATCTCTATCGCTCTGTGAGTTCAAACTCTCCCCAGCCCATAGAGCAGTGCTCAGCTTATGTGGTAAAGTGATGGAGAAACTTTGGAGAATGCAGTTACCTTTATTTTCTACATTATTTGCCAAACTTCTTGACTTGTAACAGAGTGTACTGAAGGGAGCCACGTTCAGGAAAACAGTGCCTTACTTTCTTAGGCCTTAAGCTAGATTCAGCTCCCAGTTACCAAACAGATTCTTCATTGAGTACATGGTTAGAATTTCCCAAGGTATGTTGGGCACTGAGTTAACTGACCTATCTGAGCATAAAAGATTTGACAGAGCTTCTGGTTTGATTTTGCTTTAATACAGCACTCAGAGGTCTTGTTATATATACCTCTTAACTACTAAAATACTCTCAAACAGTCCAGAAGGACTGTTTAGGCAGTTGTCACTGACACTCATCTTACTAAGGCATTGAAAGTTACAAAAATACATACTAGCGCTTGATAGTTGAACAGAAATATAAGATCATTGATTCCATTTTCAATAGTTAATCCATGAGTTTAAAGCTAATAACTATACTGTTTTTAGTTTAATAAGTGAAGGCTTGTTTTGTCACTGACTTCAAAAGTTTCTGTTCTAGCAGGTAAGGACTAAAGAGGATAATTATGACTTCGTTGTGATGAAAGTTGTGTGAATGGATCTATAAAATGAAGGAAAACGCTGAAACGTAGGATATCTTCATCCTAAAACTGGAAAAATGTCTAAAATAGCCTCTTTATTTTGAACTACAGCATGGACAACACCAACAGCACAATACCTTACAAGGATTTCTTTTTTTGTATTTTACAGCTAGTCCAAATTTCTCTTTAGTAGTATTAACGTATTCTTTTGTACCGTTCACCATCATTTCAATATTGTTGATGCTTTCTCCTTGTTCCTCTACTAAAAGAGATATCTGAATGAAAAGGTCCCTTAAGTCCTTTATTTGGTTCTCCAAATTAACAAGTTCCTTGTGTCTCTGTTCTATCTCTGAGAGTTGTGCTTTAGTAATAGTGATTTCTGTAAGTAAGCTTTCATTGAAAACTTCCCATTTTCCTTGATAAAGCATATCATTTACTTCTTCTTCAGGCACGTCTTTTCCAGCAACCTCAAGCTGACGGAAAATAAATGTCTTGCACTTGTCTTGCTTTGCTGCTATTGTATCATTGTATGTAAACATGGTTTGCTGAAATTGGCGGAACATAGCAGCATGCTGAGATTTCAGTATCCTTGTCACCACTGATGATGGACCGTTTTCAGCCTCCGACTTTTTAACTTCTTTTACTAAATCATCCAAACCTCTATTAATGTGTTCTGCTTGGATTTTTATCTCCTTTGTAATGCTAGACTCTCTCTTAAGTAGACTAAACCTTCTCATTGAAGCCAACAGACTTCTCTGTTGCTGCCCAAATTTTTGAACATCATCTGTCAAATTGTTAATACTCTCCTGTAGTTTTTGGATTTCATGCAGGTGTCTCTCAGCTACAGGCTCTCTTTCATAAATAACAGCTTGCTGCAAAAACACTCCTTGTTCTTCTGCTTCTATGGCTGACACATGCCTGTCTTTAGAGAGTTCGATTTCCTTCGTTCGTTGCTTTAGTTCTTGAAGTCGATCTTTCATCTTCCCTCTCCTCTTAAGAAGCAAAAATGATTGAGTCAAACAAATAAAAATTTGGCATTTTTCCCTCAGTAGCAGTTGGCTTCACATAGCTATGTGTGTCTGGTGTGTCTTCCAGGGAAAATCCTCCTAGTTTTCTGAAAAGAGGTTGAAAAATTAGAAAAATCATTAAGAACTTCCTCATAAAAATAACTGAATAGGAAAAGTAACGTAAAATAATTTATAAGTTATTGTGCATCTTTGTGGGACTACTGTGAATCCTTTTTGGTTGAGTAAAGTAGCTGAGAAAGCAGTGATAGAGACCCCGTTGCCCCCAAATAAGTACTTTAGTGTCATAATATTGTCACATAATAGATTTTTGTGCATACAGAGAATATATGTTAGAATGGAAGATTTGACCATATAGTCAAGTTTTAGAAGTAAAAGGGCACTCTGAAAATGCCCTTACTACTAAAGATACTGTTCCCAGTTAGTTTGGTCTGTGTAATGTTAAACTCATTTTGCTAAATATGTGTAATTCAGTTAAAATCAGTATAGTGATGGCAGATTCTATTTGAGCACTTGAAATAATATAGAAAATGTGGAATTTATTTTAAAATTTCTGAGGCTTCTTTCTAGATGGATTAACACATTATTTGACATAGCTTTTTTTTTTTTATCCATTATATACATATGAAAACATATTCTTGGTTTGATTATGCTCGTTTCCCATTCTTAGCATTCATTCCTTTGCAGAGATATCCAGACTTAGAACAAAATTTATGTACATTCATATTAAGTGCTATATTTTTTTCAAACATGAGAATATATAAAGTCTTGTTTTGGGATGCTCATAATATTGACATTATATCCTGTGTTGGTAGTTATCCACAGGATTAAATTTGGTGTACATAATTTATAAATAGTGATTTATATACATATATAATGATATGCATATGTATATAAAATGAAGGGAATAAATAGGGATGCAAACTGGTGAAGCCACTGTGGTAAAGAGTATAGAGGTTCCTCAAAGAGTTAAAAATAGAGCTGCCCTACGATCCAGCAATTGTACTACTAGGCATTTACCCAAAGAATACAAAAGTACTAATTCAGAGAGTTACACGTGCCCCAATGTTTGTAGCAGCCACATCTACGTCCGTGTTATAGAAACAGCATAGGTGTCCATGGACCAATGAGTGGATAAGGAAGAGGTGGTGTGTATATATACAATGGAATGTTACTCAGCCACAAAAGGGAATGTAATCTTGCCATCTGCAATGACATGGACGGAGCTAAAGTATATTACACTGAGCAAAGTAAGTCAGACTGAGAAAGACAAGTACCATATGATTTCACTCCTATGTGGAATTTAAGAAACAAATGAGTAAAGGGGGAAAAGAAAGAGAGTGGGAGAGGCAAACTAAGAAACAGACTCTTAACTATAGAGAACAAACTGATGATTACCACGGGGAGGGAGGGTGGGGGGATGGGTTAAATAGGTGATGAGGCTTAAGGAGGGCACTTGCTATAATGAGCCCTGGGTGTGTGGAAGTTTTGAATCACTATATTGTACACCTGGAAATAATGTTACACTGTATGTTAACTAACTGGAATTTAAATAAAAAATATATTGGAAAAGGCAATCTATGTTAATATTTTCACGGTACATCTTGACTTTAGAAAGTCACTTACTAATACCTTTCATGATATTTTTGCAGATAAGAAGCTGTTGGGGAGTTAGAAATAATGCATCGAATCACATATAGTATTTGTATAAGCCAGAGAAAAATCAACCAGTGTTGGTATTCAAAGATTAAAATAACACAGGACTGTATACTAAAAGTAACAAAATTATGTTTAACCAGGATGGATGTAAAATATTGCAGCTAGTTTAGAAAACACCTTTACATCTATAAAATGGAAGATCCTGTGTTCATAGCAGTACTTATGAAAATTACTGGAGATTTTAGTTGATTCTGAGCTTTCTACAACATAATCATGCTTTCATGAAAAATAGTGTCATGTCTAGATTGACTAAGAAAATTGACAGTAGGCTAGATGACTCTGGGCCAGTCAAAGCAGATGGAAAAAGGGCTGTGTTAGGCTCTGATGTTTTGAGATGAAAATCCATAAATTGGGAATTTCCAAATTGTCATGGAAGGATGAGATTGGAAGACTGTAATACAAAGAGAATCATTGGAAGGAATACAAATACTTATCCTGCAAAGGAGATATAGGGAATGTCTACAGCTGGTTTCTGGAATGTATAGGTCTGTATGTACTAGAGGGATATGACTTAACTTGGCGTTAGTCCAAAGACGATGGGTGGAAATCACATGGAGAGAGGTCTGATTTAATATAAAGACTTTTCAAACAGTAGAATTGTCCCAAGGTGGAATGAACTGCTAATGAGTTAATAAGCTTGCCATCACTGGAGGTGTTCAAGATCCCTGGACGATGACCCAGTCGAGCATGTAGAGGCCTGTGTTGCACAAAAAGTTAAGCCAGTGTCCTAATAATACTCCTTTAGTTTTAAAGGATTGGTATTTTGTCAAATAATTATTGAGGCTTACTATATGCAAAATTTTAAATGCTGTAGTATTTATTAAATAATATCTGTCTCTGAATAATTTATGCTCTGAGGGGATTTGGGACAGTAGACAAAGAGATAAATGAGACCATTTTGGATCTTGTTAGATCAGTTAAGCGTCTTCTCTAAGGTATTTGAGCTGTGAGACCTAATGTTGAGAAGACAGCCAAGGGATACTATCTGGGGTGTAGGAGATGGGGTGCCAAGCCAATGAATGGAATTCCAGAAAGAATCCCTATAAGTTAATTAATTTCTGCATTTTTCTTATGGGAAATTGAGAATCAGAGGAGTTAAATGTCTTATCCAGAGCTTGTTAGTAGTAGTACTGGTTAAATAATGCCAGATTTCCTGGCTGCTAGACCAGTGCTTTTTCTCAGCATAAGATATATAAAATTTCCCAGAATATATATATATATATATTACATAAAGCTGGGATAATCTATATGCTCTTTTGTATTCAGTATTTTATTAAATATCTGATGATTCTGTTGGTATAGATATTTTAAAGCACTCAAAAGCATTGGGAAGTGGTTGTAGAAACAATTCCTCCTGTGGCAACTTTGTGAAAGCGGAATCACCACTCACAATTTACTATATATACCTCTGCTAAAGACAACCATCTTTCCAGTAAAGAGGGAGGTTGATGCAAAAGTCAGTTAGCTTAATGATTTATCTTGAATAGCTCCCTACTGCTCTTTGTTTGTTTTAGTGTTATTTATTACTTCCTCCTCTGTATGCTCTCTCTGGTATTAACTTACTGATGCTGAAAATAAATTCTTCCCCAAAGTGTTTAAGATATCATGTTGCTTTTGATGTAGTCGCAAACTTTTTCTTTTTTTAAATTGACTTTAAATATGCCTTTTATTTTCCTCAAATTAACACATATAGACAGTTTAAGAAGTCAAGTCACTTCAAGGCTTATAAAGACAAACTGCTGACCCCTGCCTGCCCCACCACATCTCATTTCCAGTTTCCCACTCCCAACGGCAGTAATTTTCAGCTTCTTAGCTGTATGTTGCTTTTAAACTTTCTATTTCTAGGTAATTTGCTTATGTAGGTGTTTCTGCTTTTTCAATTTTAAATATTATATTGAATCTCTGCTATGACAGATATGGATTTAACTTTTTCTTAAACCCCGAGCCTTTCCTCAATTTTCCCTCTCTCAATATAGTTAACCATAATTTTTGGTTAGTCAATATTCAGTGTTTACATTACCACGACTACGCATTTTCGTAGTTCAAATGTCACATATGCCAGAGTCACCTAAGGTACTGTGGTCATATTTCCTTCCTCAGATAATTTTTTTCATTGTTTCTAGGCCTTTTCAGTGGATAGAGCTAGGAAATGTGTATTTTCACCTTAAGAAAGTTTTTCATTGAAGTATCTGCGTGTATATAGAAAATGCCCAAAATAAAAATGTTTAAGATAATGATTTTTCACACATCCATGTAACTACCGCATTGACCAAGGACTATGTAACTTCTAAAATTTCTCTTGAAGACACTAATTATCAAAGTTTTTCAATTGCCTCATTTTGTGCATGTGCATTACTAACTCATTCTAAAACTCTTCAATTGAACTGAAAATATCCTCTCTATATATAAATATTTAAAGATTTTATTTATTTATTCATGAGAGACACAGAGAGAGGGGCAGAGACACAGGCAGAGGGAGAAGCAGGCTCCATGCAGGAAGCCCGATGCGGGCTGGGCCAAAGGCAGGCGCCAAACTGCTGAGCCACCCAGGTATCCCTCTTTTGTGAACTTTGTCAGTAGTTTGTCTCTAGTGGGTAATTATATGTAGATGCTCTGAGTGCTCTGCTATATATATATATATATATATACCTATTCTTTGTGTTTGTTTGGTACTACCAGGCCGCTTGGGAGCTTTCCCAATTTATCCCAGGTAGTAGAAGTATGGGCTTGATGTTTCTCCAGTGATTTCTGTAGCCCACATAATATACATATGAGTCTTGATTTTTTTTCTAGTGATTTTTATATAGCCCCAGTGGACACCTCCCTTCTTGCTGTAATCTTATACAAACCAACAGGTTTTCCTGTATCTGTATATGGACTATATTCTATTTTTTTCTAGTTCACTACTTCAGGTAGGAAGCCCAGTTTTAGTCTATGCACACATTCTAACCCACAACCTCTAAGATAAAGTATTTCCGTGGAATTTGCTTTAATTCCCACTTTCCATTCTGACTATGATTGTGTTCCTTTTTCAATTCTGGCATCTGGAAATTTCCTGTTCTTCAAACCTAATGGTGCAGTTTAAAATTTTGTCTTTTTTCCCTTAAGATTATATCAAATACTCTATATAAGAGGGGGAATATCTTGTGGATCTGGACTGAAAGTCGTGGGTGATTATCTTTACAAAGTTAACTAATTCAGAATGTTCCTTAAATCCTTAACATATGTACATGTAAGGTGCACTTACATGTTACATAGAAATGGCATTTTCTAGTAGCTACATGCTTGTAACTATGTGCATAACTATTTCTACCTTGGCTGCTTGATCTTCTGGCTTCATGAAGCAGAATATTAGGCAAAGCGAGACATCTAAGCTTATTAGAATTTGAAAGTTAGAAGAGACAGAGTTCATGAAGCCAGAAAGTATAACAGCTTAGACTACGTGAAATTGATGAGATCACCATCGTATGTAATCTTTTGTGTACCTTACATTTATTTTTCTTAGGTTGGAAGAGTTCTATCCAAATATGAACCATTTTTCAGCATATTTAGCTTACTGTATTGTACAGTTTTGAATTGTACTATGTTAATAACCATCTTCAAGCTTAAACATGGCATTTGCAAAATGAAAGTTAGAAGACTATTATAAATATAGTAATCGACTTTGACAATTTGTTCTAGGAAATAGAAAAGTAAACCTTGTATGACTCAAACTTTCTCCACCCTGTTACAAACAGGGGATATTCCCAAAAATAGAAATATGAATAAAATTACCTCATGCTTTAAGAAATATGCCCTGGGATAGATACAGATATATAGATTTTCTTTCTTTTTTTTTTTTAGCAAGGCGTTTCTTTCTACAGTTACTATATTAAATACTATATTAAATACAATATTTTAATAAATGTAACTAGTTTTTATACAACATAAAATGGAATGTTCTTTTGCTTTTATGAATGAAGACAACTTGTAGACATTTTCTTAGTTCAAGGTGAAAGCAGCTGGTATTGGAAAATCCACCTCGTTGGCTACTTAAATATGGAAAACAGACTTAAAAAAAATTGGCAAGTTGCACATATTCTTTCAAAGCTTAAATTATCTGATGTTTTTTGTAATGCAATCTTTCAGTGCTTTTTTTCCCATTCTATTTATTGTTAATAAGTTGTTAAAATTAACTTGCTTAATGTAACAATAAGACCATTTTTGTTTAAATATTTAAGACCCTGGTATAATTTTGAATTCTAACTTATCTGATTAAGTGGTATATACATGAAATGACTTTTATATTAAATGTAAAACTACATAACCATGGAGATATGTTGTAGGTGTATCATAGCCAACTTTCAAGTCCACCCTTAAAACGTTTTAAAAAGTCATTATGATTTTGATTGAAAATGGATTATTTATTAAGCTCTAACATTGCAGGAATTATTTTTTTAAAATTTTTTTAAATTTTTATTTATTTATGATAGTCACAGAGAGAGAGAGAGAAAGAGAGAGGCAGAGACACAGGCAGAGGGAGAAGCAGGCTCCATGCACCGGGAGCCCGACGTGGAACTCGATCCCGGGTCTCCAGGATCGCGCCCTGGGCCAAAGGCAGGCACTAAACCGCTGCGCCACCCAGGGATCCCCCCATTGCAGGAATTATAAAATAACTGGAGAAATAGCAAAAAAAAAATTTTATAAGCATCATATATATTGCTTAATTTTGAAAGTATTAGACCTACCTGTATATATATATGTGTGTTACATTTAAATAATGCTGACTTAATTTTTTTAAACTATTAAATATATTTATATTGAGTTTTATAATTTCTTTCAATATATTGAAACATTAAAAATGTATTTTGATATTTTTACTGTAGTCCTTTTACAACAAAGTTATTTTCTTTTTTTTTTTAAGATTTTATTTATTTATTCATGAGAGACAGAGAGAGAGAGAGAGAGAGAGAGAGAGAGAGAGGCAGAGACATAGGAGAGGGAGAAGCAGGCTCCATGCAGGGAGCCGGATGTGGGACTCGATCCCGGGTCTCCAGGATCAGGCTCTGGGCTGAAGGTGGCAGTAAACCACTGAGCCATCTGGGCCGCCCCCAAAGTTATTTTCTAATTTTTTCCAGTTTAAAATATTTTTGGAAACAGCAGTGAAGAAATTAAGACCTTATAGAAAATTATTTTAACTTAAAAATTACACGTGTGTCAAATTTAAGCCTAAGTTTTTCACAGCTAAATGTAAAAGTACTCTCTAAAGCAAGCACAATATGACTAATTTATAGTTAGCCTACAAAAGAAAGAATTTTGTGTTTAGAAAATATGACTTTTTCGTGTTTCCAAAATGAAAACTTATTTTTTAAAGGAATTAAAAGAAAAAGTTGATTTTTGGTACAGTGGATTATTTCTAAGAGCTCTAAACCCAAATCTTATTCAATATATTAGCAGTATAAATGAACAGATCAGCTACCTGTCCAAATCTGAGCAAACCAGTAACTTTAATTATCTATGTAGTTATTTTTAAATATCACACAATCCAGTCTTTGGATGTCTTACGTGGAAAAGTACAAAAAAAGAGTAGTTTATTTACCTTTGTCTTGTTCTTTTTGTTGCTTTCCACCTGCGGTGTTGAGGTCCTGCCCTTAAGAGAAAGACTGAGTATCGTCTGTAACGTTTCAATCAAATCATTTAAGCCTCTGTGTTATGGTTCACAGGCTAATTTCTGTATGGTTTTTCATATAGTTAATGTAATTGAAAGCCAAATAATGAAGTCAAGTAAGTTAGACATACAGTTGTCCTTTTGCTGTTAGTATCAAATGAGAGAACAAATTGCTTACTTCACACCTGGAGAATCCGGTTTTGCCTGTTAGCCTCCCATTCTTTAGATTAAAGGAAGATCATTTTCATTGGAGCTAGCTGGTAACAGGAAGTCCTTGTTAAACTGCTTACATAGAGTATTTGGCACAGTCTCTGTATTTCTGATTCTGTATTCTATATAAAATACATGAGTCACAAAATGACGGTCTGTATTTAAACAGAAGTTACTTTGTTTTCTTTAGATATCAAAACTTGCTAAATATACAGAATTTGGAATAAATAAAAATGGAAATTTGTTCCATTTACTTTAAAATGATTGAATTCTATTTTATTGTAGGAAATCCCAGAGGCTTAACCCATGAAATCATTGAATTTCAGTACTACGACAGCCAGAAAAGAGCTTGTCTTTAAACCTTCCACCCTTTTCTTTTTACCTACATCTGCTATTTTCACTTTAAAATAAGTTATTTACATAGTTTCAGTGTAGAAAAACTGAAGTTGTGCAGTAATCTGTGATACTATGTATAATAGCAGTATAACAATTCAAAATAAAATTTTACCAGAGTGAAATATTTATAGAAAGTATTAGAAATGAAATTTCTCTCACACTACTAAATTTCCTTACCTTTCCTTTTTTGCTGCCTGAGTTGTTGTGATTTGAGGGTAAGAGGAGGGACATTGCTATAATATCTAGCAAAATAACATTTGCATTTATTCTTTGACTTAGTAGTCCCACTTCCCGGAATATGTTCCCCAAATAATAAGTAACTCCTTCACACACTTACTCTTCATGGCACTTCTTGTGAAAACAAATCATTTGGATACAGCCCAAAAGTCCTTCAGTGTAGGCCTGGCTGAATAAACAGAAACATCCATATGATGACCATTTTGCTCATTAATAAAGAATATAATAATTAAAAAGATTGCTCTGTACTGCTCCAGGGTAATTTTAGGATTTACTACTTTTTAAAAAAAGCCTGGTGCTGCACAAGAGTATACTGTACTAGCTTTGGAGGAAGAAGTAGAGGGTAGAGATACACACAAATACCCCTCCCCACCACCAGTCAATAGCAGTGAATTTCTATAGTGCCAGATTGTGTACTTTAAGATACCTTTTCGGGATGCCAGGGTGGCTCAGTGGTTGAGCATCTGCTTTTGGCTCAGGGAGTGATTCCTGGGTCCTGGGATCGAGTCCTACATCGGGCTCCCTGCAGGGAGTCTGCTTCTCCCTCTGCCTGTGTCTCTGCCTCTCTCTCTCTCTCTCTCTCTCATGAATAAATAAATAAAATATTTTTTAAAAAGATACCTTTTCCCCCATATACATGTTTATATTTTCAAAAAGGAATAGTGGGAGGGTAAACTAAAACCAATAAAAATAGTTACCTTAAGGAGAATGGAAAGAATAAAGAGAGGAAAAAGGACAGAGATGGAAAATAGTCTGATTGTCCCTTATTTTTATAGTTTTGAATTTGGAACCATATGAACATTTTAAAAATGAAATCTTAAAATAATAAAACTATCTCTAAAAGGCAAAAGAAGTCTGAAACTAAAGAACTTGGGTACATATCTAGATGGCGGGATAGCCACATAGAGAGGGATTATTCCAAGTAATATTAAAGCCAAATATTTTGACCCATGCATCTTTTTTTTAAAAAAAAAGATTTTATTTATTTATTCATGAGAGACAGAGAGGCAGAGACACAGGCAGAGGGAGAAGCCCACTCCCTCTGGGGAGCCCGATATGGGACTCTCTACCTCAGAACCCCAGGATCAGGACCTGAGTCAAAGGCAGACACTCAACCACTGAGCACCCCAGGTGCCCTGACCCATGCATCTTTTGTGGGCTAAATCTTAGAGACAAAAATAACCACAAAGAGATCTTGACCTGTATTTAGAATCCTTTTCAATAATAATACTGGTATTGTTATGTTGATTCTTTTTTTTTTAAGTAATTCTTTTTTTTTTAAACTTTATTTTTTTCAAGATTTTTATTTATTCATAGAGACACACACACACAGAGAGAGAGAGAGAGAGAGAGGCAGAGACACAGGCAGAGGGAGAAGCAGGCTCCACGCAGGGAGCCCGGACGTGGGACTTGATCCCGGGCCTCCAGGATCACACCCCAGGCTGCAGGCGGCGCTAAACCGCTGAGCCACAGGGGGCTGCCCTGTTATGTTGATTCTTGTATATGTTGTAGGATAATGAAATAGTTAATGTCAGCATTATTAAGAACTGTAGTTTTCAAGCATAAGGAAAAAAAGATACAAATTAAGCTGAGTAAAAATGAAATAGTATTTAAGATTTTGATTTTTCTTTCTTACAAAAGTACATTTGTCTTAGCTTTATCCACTGAGAGGGTCTAGAATCAATGGCAAGTTAATAGCAATAAATGCCCATAGTCCTCAGATTGTGATCTTTACAGTACCATTTCCTTCCTTACTGAAAGGAATCAGGGCTCCTTAGCAAAATTGATGATTTCAGGTATGGGACATTGTTTTTTAAGAGAAATCAAAGAAGATATCAAAGCCCACTGGAGTTGTACCAGAAGAACCCAGGAGCTAGTTCAAAGGGGACTCTCACTGGCCATTAATTAAATGGGTAGCTTTGAGCCTCAAAAAACAACAGTGACTACAATAAATTGAAACATATCAAATACATTTTTAAAATCCATGAGTTCATAATGATATCCCCCCACAAACCAAAGAAAGCAACTTGATCATGTTCAGAAGTTGACAGGACACCAATTCATTCTTATGAAAACTAGGAAATGAAGGCAAAGGATCAAACATTTATGTTGACTTTCATCTGAATTGTATTTAAGTAAGAGTTACTGAGTAGTTGATAAAAGCTTACTTTTTTTTCCCCAGCAAAATCCAGCTAATAAATTCAGAGGGAAGATAGAAGTAGAAGAATCATGATTTTATAATCTCTTATAAAATAATGAAGTTAAACAAAGGTCATTAAAGGCTATTAAAATCATTCAATGAAAGTAAGGTTCGTGAGGAACTTTATTTTGGATGAATCAAGCTGACTCCAGCCCAGTCCACTGATCCGTTTTTAGAATCACTAAATGTTGTATAACTAGATATTCTATAGCTTTTCAGTATCAGCACCATCTGTGAAATATGCTCAAGATTTCAGCTTGAATCTCATCCAGCCTGTACATCTAACTGCAGATGTCACATCTACAGATGTGCATCTAACTACAGATATAGGACATTTTTGGTATGCATGTTAAATTGACCTCATAAGGGAGGGAGTTGAATCCTAAACACAGAACATTCTATAGAAATAGGACTCGTTTTGTTTTCAAATAAATGTTATGGAAGGAAAAGAAGTAGCAGTGGTAGTTGTGTTGCAGGGGTGTAAGTGTTGGGACTGGGGACAGTATTAAAAAGATTTAAATGAATACAGTGTAATGTGTATCTTGTTTGGATCTGAATTTGGACATAACCTTATAAAAAAGATGAAGAAATAATTTTTTTAGGTGTGATAGTGGTATTATTTTTTAATAAATATGGTAATATTTTAAAATTTAGGGTTGTAATAACTTCACTGGCCAGGGAAAGTAAAGGGTATGTAGATGAGCAAGAATGGCATAATGTTGATACTTTTTAAAGGTAGGTGATAAGGTTTCATTAGATTTATTCTATATATTTATTAAATAATATATATTTGCCTCTGGAATGTCTATCAAACCCTGACCAAGACAGCGTTTCATTAAACTTTTGATCTCTGACACCTGATAGCAAACATTGTTATTTTGTAGTAATTCCTATTTTTTCAATAGGAAAAATTTTGGTTTTTCAATTTGTACCTGAGTATCATGGTTTCTATGTCCTTATGCCCAATGCTATGCCAAGTAAATTAAGTGACCCCCACCTCCCCAGTAAGTTGCACATTTATGTGGACACATTGACACACTGAATATACAGATGAGCTCACATATTACGGACTCAGTATGACTATCTGGGTGTTCAAAACATGATACAGTTTGCATTTTAAGAAGATAAGGACATACTTGATGTGAAGTTGGAACTGAGGGCTGTAGAAACTAGCAGTCCACTTCTTTTCCTCTGTGGAGCATTTCTTGTTGGCCTGTTGACACTTCTGTTAAGTGGATTTTGCTTTTATAGGCCAGTTCTTTCAAACTTATTTTAGCAGTATTACATCAAGAAAAAGTGATGAAATAGATACAATATATATTTTTTTAAGATTTATTTATTCATGAGAGACACAGAGAGAGAGAGGCAGAGACACAGGCAGAGGGAGAAGCAGGCTCCACGCTGGGAGCCTGACGTGGGACTCGACCTCGGGCCTCCAGGATCACGCCCTGGGCTGAAGGTGGCGCTAAACTGCTGGGCCACCCGGGCTGCTTAAAAGAGAGAGCAAGGGTGGGGGTGGGGGGAGGGGCAGAGGGGGAGAGAGAGGCAAACTCCTTGCTAAGCAGGGAGCCTGATAGGGGGCTCATGACCTGAGCTGGAGGCAGTCGTGTGCCAACTGAGGCACCCAGGCGCCCCAATACTGTAGTACTCTTGAACTAGTAGGTTCTATAATCAGTAAGGCTTAAATCTTTGGAATAAGAAGAACATGACCGGGATCCCTGGGTGGCGCAGCGGTTTGGCGCCTGCCTTTGGCCCAGGGCGCGATCCTGGAGACCCGGGATCGAATCCCACATCGGGCTGCTGGTGCATGGAGCCTGCTTCTCCCTCTGCCTATGTCTCTGCCTCTCTCTCTTTCTCTCTCTGTGACTATCATAAATAAATAAAAATTCAAAAAAAATTAAAAAAAAAAAAAAGAAGAACATGACCAAAATATTTTTAGGTGGCTTTATGATTATGTATTTGCTATAAAACTATTTCATTTATGTCTCTTTAGGTTGGCAAATAAACAAGACAAGGAAGGGGCTTTAGGAGAAGCTGATGTGATTGAATGCCTATCTCTGGAAAAATTAGTCAATGAGCACAAGTGCCTATGTCAAATAGTAAGTTTTTGCTGTTTTTTTACCCTATGAGAAATGTCAGCATAACTTAATTTTTATAGAGGTAGCAGGCAGTTAGGTGGCAGACGGCTAACAAAATAATTTATTAGTGTTTTACAATAATTTTATTTAATACTATAACATTTGTTTTCTATTTAGTTGTTACTCCCATAAACTTTCATGATTTCATAGACCTTAGCTTTGCTTTTTGTTTAAGATATTACTGATAGGGCCTGTAAGTTATACAAATATGTCATGCTACAAATTTCGTAGAATAGTAAAGTATAGATAGAAAATTGAAGCATAGGAGAGGTTATAATGAGTTTTGAAAAATCGTTATCAGGAAAGTTATCCTGTAATCTTAAGAAAGGTGGGCAGAGGATTCAGTCATTCATTCTAGTTTCTGAAGATGGCAGCAAGGCCATTAATCTTAAAAGATGCGTACTGCTATATATTCCCTGGTATACGGAGTTAAAACTTTTCCGCTGTTTTTAATAAGTAGGGTTATTTTTCTTCTGGCAGTACAATTTTGTCTTCTATTGAGTTTGTTTAAAATTACAATTGGCACTTTCGACTTCTCACAATGTGTCTCATAGCTTACAGATAGAATCCTTAAAATATTTCAACATATGTGTATTAATGTTAGTTTAATGATCATTTCAAAGGTGTGTTTTATAAGTTAAATGAGCAGATGCTTCATATCATTAACTTAATGAGTTAGTTTTGATTTGCCAGTAGTTATACTCAATGGTGTATGAACAGATTTTTGTGGAAAACTTTTAATTTTAATTTTAATCTTTAAGTCAAATAAATTGCTGTTTTTCAGGAACCTTGTTCAGCAGTCTTGGGCTATGGAAAGAAAATTGACAAGTCCATTAAAAAAGGCCTTTATTGGCTACTACATATCATTGCAAGAGACTTTGATACCTTAAATGAACGCATCCAAAGGGATATAACAGAACAGCGTGCTCTTGAAGAACAAGAGAAACGAGAAAGGGCTGAACGAGTGAGAAAATTACGAGAAGAGAGGCAAGTAGACCTATTTGTGCCACAGTGCATTTGCAAAGTCAAGAACATCACAGCTCTATGAAAGATCTTATAGTTTTGTCTATTCAGTTTCCTCTTGCTGTTTGAAGGAAGACATTAGGTAATTTTTTTTTTTTTTTTTTTTTTGTGGCTCTTTCTTTATATGAGTTTGGGTGATAGGGTTCTAATTTTCCTAGTGGTGCTATAATAGTTAAATTTATTCCTTAAATATTTATTATTTCCCGGAATTCAAAGATTTTTATCTCTTCTTATGGGTACCATTAATGTTGTGGTTCTCAATCATGAGGTAATTTTGCTTCTCAGAGGATATTTGGCAATGTCTAGAGATATTTTTACTTATCACATGGGGGTAGCTGGAGTGCTACTGGCATCTAATGGATAGAGGTGATACACAGAACCTTCTCTTGCACAAAGAATTACTGGGCTTACTATCTTAGTAGATTGAGAACCCTTTCTTTAGTCTAAGCAAAGATAGAAGGTAAGCTGTTAGTGGGTCTATCAACTGAAGCAAAATCTGATCTTCAACACTAGTTTTATCAGAAAGTAGATTAAATCGTAGTATCTTAGTATCTTAAAATATATTTTTAAGATCATTTAAAAATATGTTGCTTGAAAGCAAGCTTTTTTTTTTTTTAATGGTCTAGAAGAGCTCCAAAGACTCTTTTTTTTTTTTTTTTTTAAAGATTTTATTTATTTATTCAGGAGAGACACAGAGAAAGAGACAGGGAAAAGCAGGGAGCCCAATGTGGGACTTGATCCCTGGACTCCAGGATCATGCCCTGGGCTGAAGGGAGGTGCTGAATTGCTGAGCCACCCAGGCGTCCCAAAAGCAAACTTTTAAAATGGAATTTAGCAAACTCTGAATTAAAAAAAAATCATATAAATTCAACCACAGAATCATTTATAATAATCTTAATGTGCAAGAAAGTACACAGATTTGATTAGAAGTTCAGTTTAGTACTTAATACCATGATTCATCTTTCTCTCTCCACTGGATTGTTATGTGGTAGGGGAGGGGAGAAATGAAAAGATTTATATATGTTTAAAGGTTTATATATATATATATGTGTGTGTGTGTATTTATATATATATATATATATATATATATATATATATATATATATATATATTTTTTTTTTTTTTTTAAGAGAGGGACAGAGGTGTGGAGGGACAGAGAGAGAGAGGGAGAGAGAATCTTAAGCAAGCTCCAAACCCACTTCAGAGCCCATTGCAGGTCTGGATCTCACAACTGAGTCACCCAGGTGCCCCCAAGTTCAAATTTTTTTTTTTTTAAAAGAGAAGGAGAGTGTGAGCATACACACAAAGTGTGTGTGGGGGGGCGGGGGGGGTAGAGAGGGAGAAAGAGATTTTTTTTTTTAAAAAGATTTTATTTATTCATGAGAGACACAGAGAGAAAGGCAGAGACACAGGCAGAGGGAGAAGCAGGCTCCATGTAGGGAGCCCAATGTGGGACTTGATCCTGGGTCTCCAGGATCACACCCTGGGCCAAAGGCAGACACTCAACTGCTGAGCCACCCAGGGATCCCCAAAAGAGAGAATCTTAAGCAGACTCTGTGTTCTGCATGGAGTCCAGTATGAGGTGGAGCTTCATCTCTGGACTGAGCTCATGACCTGAGCTGAAATCAAGAGTCAGACATTTAACCAACTGAGCCACCCAGGTGCCCCTAAAATGAAAATATTTTTAAGTGAATTTCTGTGAGATACAAGGTTGTCTTCTATCTTATCTAAGTAAAATTGGCCTCCCATGTGCTTTTAACATAGTCCTAGTCTGGTAGGCAAGAACCCACTAATCACCCTTGGTTATTCGTTTGTGAGATGCATCCTTACACTGTCAAGGAAATCCTTTCATTACTGGTATCTTTTATTTAATTCAGAGATAAGACTTAAAGAAATATTTCTAGAGATAACTCCCCATCCCCAAGTGCTCAATAATATGAGCAGATCGTCTTCTATGAGTCTCTTGAAACCAGTATGAGATTTTCGTAAATGTGAGACTCTTTGGTTTTTTTTTATCCAAGTGTATCATATTTTCATGATATAAAGCTCAGTACAACCAGTCATTCATGAAAGTATACCTTTTATTTTCTGAAGACTCTTTTGCTTTCCTCCACTAAGAAAACAAAAAAGAACCAAAAATTTGAGTTGGATTAAAGAAGTTTAAAGTTATCTTTTTTTTTTTCAAGTTTTTACTTTTTCCATAAAGTTATTGTAGATCATGTTATGGCAGGCTTTTCTGTTACCTACTCCCCTTTCCTTCTTTCTCCTAGCTATGTTACTTGTGGTCTGAGGCCTTTCCTGTTGAGCAGAGAGACTGTAATTAAAAGTAAATTGGAAAAAATAAAAATAAATAAAATAAATAAAAGTAAGTTGGCATTTAGAGAAGAATTATTTTTAAAAAAACCTTTTTATTTAATTAAATCCAATTAAGTAGGTTCAGATATTTTTGAAAAACAATGAAACATGCTACCTGAAAATAGTATGTCAGTACTAGGTTACCTGAAATTGCTTAGTAATAAATTAATAACATTAAGAGCAACCACTGTCTTCTAGGTATGTTCATTTACAGAGTGCTTTGTCTACACAGCCCTATGAGATAGATATTTTTATCCATATTTATGGGAAAGCTGAGGCTTAAAGATCCCGACGGAAGTCCAAGGTCATAGAGGTAATAAATTGCAAATCTCTACCTCTTGGCTTCGTACATTCAGAATGAAAGGATATATCTTCCCATAATAGAACATAATTAATAAATGTCATAGTAGTGAGCATTCACGTTACCATACTTGCAGTGTGGCTGCATATCTACAATACTTATTTTTTCTGTCTTGTGCTACTTGTTTTAAAAAGTAACTTACTGTTCTTCATGCCTGGAGCAATGTTAACTATAAATCACAGTGATAGTGGTGGAGTAGTAACTAATGTGGAAATAATTAATCCTAGTGATATTGGGCAGCTTAGTTATATAGTCTCTCTACCTTTATACAGCAAGGATTGTTACCCAGTTTATTTGTGATACACAGCTTGACACAACACTGAAGAAGGGTGTTAACAAGAGGACTTATTTATTTGTTAACATCAGTGAAGAGGACGGCATTTATTTGGGAGGTAGTTAAGAAATGGATGAATATAAACCTTTGGCACATAGATAGTTAATTAACAAGCACCACTGACATTTTTTTTTTTTTAAGATTTTATTTATTTATTCACGAGAGACAGAGAGAGAGAGGCAGAGACACAGGCAGAGGGAGAAGCAGGCTCCAAGCAGGAGCCCAATGTGGGACTCAATCCTGGGACTCCAGGATCATGCCCTGAGTCGAGGGCATACACTTAACCGCTGAGCCACCCTGGCGTCCCGCACCACTGACATTAAGTAGTCATAGGGGATGTTATTTTTGTCAGCATTTCTTTTTTTTTTTTTTAATTTAAGTGATCAACTATGGAATATTACACAGCCATAAGACATAATGAGATCTTGCATTTGCAACAACAGGAATGGATCTAGAGGGTATTATGCTAAGTGAAGTTAGTCAGAGAAAGACAAATACCACATGCTTTCACTTAATATGTATAATTAAAAAAAGAAGGAAGGAAGGAAGGAAAGAGGAAAGAAAGAAGAAAGAAAGAAGAAAGAAAGAAAGAAAGAAAGAAAGAAAGAAAAAGAGAAATAAAAGAACAGACCCATACACATGAAGAACAAACTATTGGGGGATCCCTGGGTGGCGCGGCGGTTTGGCGCCTGCCTTTGGCCCAGGGTGCGATCCTGGAGACCCGGGATCGAATCCCACGTCGGGCTCCCGGTGCATGGAGCCTGCTTCTCCCTCTGTCTGTGTCTCTGCCTCTCTTTCTTTCTCTGTGACTATCATAAATAAATAAAAATTAAAAAAAAATCCCTCTAAAAGAACAAACTATTGGTTGCCAGGGAAGGAAGAGTGGACAGGCAACCTGGGAGAAGAAAGGCAGGATGTGTAGGCTTCCCATTGTGAAATGAAGAAGTTATGAGGATGGAAAGGAGAGCGTAGAGATAGTGTGACAGTGTCGTATGGTGACAGTGGCTACACATGTGGGCACAGCATACGGTATAGACTTGTTGCATCACTATGTCGTGTAACTGAAACTAATGTAATATTGTGTGTCAGCTGTACTTCACATAAAAAGTCTAAGTGATTAATCTTCACATGGGACTGAGAGGCCTCTTACCTGCACTAGGATTTCTGAGAGTCAGTAACTCAAAGCCATGTCCAGATGTTTAACTTACTAGATTTAATAGCCTTAATCCTATCACAAGTGTTCTTAAACATGGTTCAGCATTTTCTCATAAGGAATTCCAAATTTTTCCCTCAAACAATAGAGAACAAAGGGAGCGAGAGCAAGCGGAACTGAATGGAAGCAGCAGCCTGGCTGAGTTGGACCCCGAACCAATTACTGTTAATCCTTTCCAGCCAATAGCATCTGTCATTCTTGAGGTAGGGATGGTGGCACATGTAATTTTTATGACTTAAGTTATAAAGTTGGAAGCTAAGAAGGGAGATGGGGAGAAGTATTTCACCAGCGATTATTTCTAAAGGAAATTAAATGGGAGAGATGGATTACAGGCCTGCTGCTTTTTCTTTATCTTAAAGTTTGCTTTTTGATTTAATATAGAAAGGAAAGCTGACCTCTGAGTTAACTGAGAATGAAAATGAAGATTGAATGTACCAACTGTCGTAGTTACTGTCCTGATTAATCTTTTTTTGTCATTTATTTTGTCTGATAGGACTATATTTACTCTCATTTACATTGTCTATCTCCCTGTGTTGTTGTTACTGTCACTTTACAGTAATATTTAGGTGCTTGTGATGCATTTTAGAGTATGTAAATGATTTCCTAATTATTTTCCCAGGATACGTCAGAATGTTCAAATCTATAGTAAGTTCTTCTGTATATGAATATAATTTATTTTAGTTTTCATTGCCAGCAGTTTTACCAAAATTAATTTGTAGACTTTACTCACGAAGTTAAGGGGCTGTGTCTGTGTGTGTGTGTGTGTGTGTGTGTCTGTATAGTTGTATCTTCGCTTTCATTGTCTGCTGGTGTCCAGAGCTCGCATTGGCCTTCTTTTGATCACTCTGTGCAGCCGTGCCTCTTTGGAGGCAGAGCTTCCTAAATCTCCATTCACTTAGAGTTTGATGTGGCAGCTGGCTTGGTGGTCCCACCTGTATCTTCTCCATTCCTCTTCCCCTGTCACTGCCTCCTTCCACACAGGTGCTCATCTGGAAAGGTGGATGATTGTTTCTTCCTTGGGGCTGCTGCTGAGGAGGGAGGCAGCTCCACAGGTAAGAAGATGATTGGATAGTTTTGGTATTGCCTTATTTTACAAAATAATTGGTAATATGAGATAGTTTGACTTAAGTTGCTTAGACAACAGAAGGTTAATTGTATTTAATCTTTTTTTAACTCCACTACATTTACCTTAAGTATATGCTTTCCTGAGATATTAAAGCTGTCTTAACACTTGAGCTAATTTATCTCTATCCCATTAAATACTATGGTTGCCAAGTTTTGTTGTATGTGCTTTAAAAAAACACTGATAGAGAAGAAGGAAATCAAGTTTGACTTTTCACTTTGAAACATGAATTTATATTTGTAATAAACCTCATTTTATATGGTACCATGGTTATTAATAACTTAGAAGGCCTCAGCACTTCTACCAACATTGTATTTTTCGTGATATAAGGATGTGGACAGTAATGATGTATAGCATAGTATGCCTTAAAGTCAAAGTCCCTGAGCTGATTAGTGGCAGAAAGTACAGTTATTATGCTTTTAAACTATGTTAATTTTGAAAATATGATCAGTTAAGAAATGAAATAAATGAAAACAAATTACCTAAAATCTTTTTTACCAAGCAAATTTTAATTTTTTTTTTCTTTCTATAAAACTTCTCCTTTAAAATGTTTGTATTTTAGAGAGTCAGCTTACAGCCCTTTGCTTTTATTACAGATTAAAAAAATGGTGAGGTATTGTTTCCAGAATAGACAGACTGATCAATGGAACAGATAGTAACAAACCTAATTATGCATGAGCACTTTGTATAAGATAAAAGTGACATTTCAAATCTGAGAGAAAAGGGAGTTAGAGTAATGAAGAATCATTTGGAAAAAAGTAAAATTAATGAACAGTGTATATACCAAATTGAACTCTAGAAGACAAGTGTGTACAAAAAGACTTGAAAGTACTAGCATGTAATATAGTTAAACATTTGTGTATACTTGGAGGAGAACTTTCAAAGCAGGACAATCAAGCCACATATGATGAAGCGATAAACAGGTTAGTCTTATTATATCCAATTTTTAAACAGCTGTTCTATAAAGTTAAAGGCAAAGAACAAACCCTAATGAAAATCATTTGTGACATATAAGACAAAAAAAAGAACCCTTAAAAATTCCTATGAAAATAATGGGAACTTAACAGAAAAAAAGGTTTTGGCTTCCCATGGATAGTTTCCTTTAAAAAAAAATGGCAATAAGGTTATTTAATAGTTCATCTTCACTAGCAATAAAAAAAAATTGAATTAAACTTTACACCAAGGTACAAATATGTATTTATTAGTTTGGTGGGCATGTAAAAGACTGACGATGATATACAGGCATAGAAGATGATATGGGGAAACATCACTCTCCTCACTCTTTGCCTGGAGTATGAATTGACTTTAGCCTTTCTGAAGGGATGTGTGTAGTTACCAGTAGTTCCACTGTTAGGAGTTTATTCTAAAAAGCTAATTCAATAATTGTATTTCTTAGAATGAAAAATTGAAAACAATTTCTCTCTTGATTAGGATTTGGTAAATTAAGGTATGCTATAACCATTCAGAATGATAATATAATTTATGAAAGTAGTAATGGCTAACACATGTAGCATTATATAACATGGAGCTAACACTTTAATGTGAGTCAGGTATTATTCTAAGCACTTCATATACTCACTGACGAGAGAAGGAATATATATTCATAAGTAAAAAGTTAATTCTTTTTTGTTTAAAAGACAAATATTTAAATATGCATATAAAGAGAAACATTCAATCAGATTTATGTATGTTTGTGGGTGGTGTATGTCTGTATGTGTGCAGGTAGGAAAAGAAAAACCCCTCTTAGTGATTATGCACCAAACATATCATTTCTTGATTATGGAATTACTGGTAATATATGTTTTCATTATCTTTGCTTTCAGAAAGTTTACTGATTAAATGCTTTAATGATATATTCAACAAATAATTCTTTAATAGAAATATCACAGTGCTCTGAAGTTACAGAATGCTTTTGGATTGTTTGATTTCTTCCTTAAAACTATCTTAGACAATTATTATATTAAAAATGATATATTTCATTTTTGATAGAATGAAAGAAAACTTGAAAAAGAGAAAAGGAGACAGAATATGGAGAAAGACAGTGATGGCCGCCCCCTGAAACATAAAGTGGAGCATGAGCAAATAGAGACACAGAGCCAGATCAGTGATAGTAGCCAAAAAACCAATGAGCTTGGAGTAGTAGAAAATTACAAGGAGGCTTTAACACAGCAGTTGGAGAATGAAGTTGAGACAGACCAGCGATCATCAGAATCAGGTGATAAATCTAATTATTTAAAAATATACATATATACACACACACACACATATATATACACAAAACTTAACATGTTGTATATGTCTCACTTGTCATGATTATTTTTACAAAAAAGTATACTGTAATATTTTTTGTCGCCAAATGCAGTATTTACGTGGTTCTCTCATTAGTTTCTCATTAGTGAATTCACTAACTCTTGTTTTTATTCATGATGCCTTAAAATGTAGTCCTTTGTAATTTAAATGAATTTCAGCAGAAAATTCTGTTTTCAATTTTATTTCATAAATTTGGAAAATAGCATAGACCTAGGAATCCTTGGAATGTATTGAACTTTTAAGGCTCTTTTGTGGGGTTTTGTATGGATTCTATTTTATTTATTTATTTATTTATTTTTGGATTTTATTTTAACCTCATAATACTACCGTCAGCATCACTTCTTTTATTGACTTGCTATTTTTTTTTTGACTTGCTATTTGTATAGAATGTGGACATACTCAGTTGAACGCTGATGAACATTAAAGTTGATAGCCATTTTCCTCTTATTTTAATATCCTACAAAATCTTCAATTCATAATTGCTTTTCTTTCTCTAAATGGTTATGTGATTTAACTAGAAAGTTCATGTCTTTGGTGTCAGAGAGAGAATCAGACAACCTGGGATAGAATCTAGGTATTTGTTGTGTTACACTGTATTGTTTTTCAGTCTTAGTTTCCTCATCTCCAAAATGGCGATACGCATCATTTTATTTCACAGGGCTTTTAGGTTACTTTGCATTTGCATTTTTGCATTTTACACTTTGCAGGTAAAAATAACCTTGCAATGTTCCTAGCACAGGGCCTGACACATGACCCGGTAATCATCACTTCCTTGCAACTTCTAGTTAGCAGTATGGTTTCATTGTATATTAGAATTTTTGTACAATATCAGGAAGGTTAGTTATGAAAATAAGATGGTAATCCTTGAGGTTCAGATTAGCTAACATGGATATTTTGCTGTATATAAAAAAAAAGATTTGAAAGCTTCCCTTAGGCAGGTGGGGCAGCCATATTTGTACTCATGTAGTTCTGTTAACAGAGTTAAACAGAAAGTAGACTTAAAGTAGCCGCTCAGTATATTGAAAAAATTTTTTGAACACTAATAGTCTTTGTTAAAGAGCAAAAGATTTGGTAGATTATTTTAAAATATACTGTAGGAAGATCTAAGATTGTCAATCATATAACTATAATAATAATAATAATAATAATAATTAACATTTTATACCTCAGAACATGGTTTCAGATGTTATTTAATGCAAGATTGTATTATTTAACATAACAATCCTAGAGTTATAACAATCCTAGAGTATATTATTCCCATTATTTTGAATAGGAAATCAGGGACTTGGAAAGATTGAGTTACTTAGTTAAGATCATATTCTCATCTGTGGCTGGGCTAAGAGCCCACTTCCTATCATCCGCCCATTATCCTGTGCTCCTTCATGACCCTGAGCTATGCCCATCCTGAAATACCATACGGTTCTGGACTTTTTCTTTCCTTTGTCTCAACTGTAAAGCTTAGGGTTTAATTGTAAAACAATTTTTCTCTGGAGTAAAATGTCTCAGATGACACAAATAATTTATTTAGAAAAAATATTTCTAAGCATGTTTATATTTCTTATTGCTTTGAAGCTTTCATAGATGTTGGCTATTTCTCATATAACAATTCTCATTTTATAAAATGTATTACATATATATAAATTAAGCAGTTGGGATTGTCAATTAAAATATTTCAGTAATTTAGGTGGTTATTTAACATTTACATGGTAATGACATAGATGTCCTTAAGTTGTTTATATGTACTTAAGTGAGAATCTGTAGTTATTTTTTAGAAAGAACACAAATTCAATTCTGTAATCTCTAATAATGTGATTTTGGTTACATGTATTTATATTGGGAATACATTGGGGATATTTCAATGGGTAATGTGTTTAGATTTGATTAGGGTCTTTTCACATATTGAAGAATTAGTTTTGGATTGTTAATACCTAGAATCATTCTATATATTCTACTGAGACAAATCAACATCTCTCCTCTTTCCTTGGCTGTTTTGAGTTTCATGAAAATCCCTTCAATTAGACAATTATATTTACTTAATACATTTGGGAAAAAATGTAACTTACTTTTGGAAAGGTAAACTTTTTTTTGTATTCTGAATAACCTCTCATCAAACTTAAAATACAGGCTTTTTTTTTTTTTTTTTGCTTGTATCATATTCATTCATTTTTCATTAAGCAATCATTTAAAAATTTATTCTTGGTAAAAGCAGATTCACATTTCATTACTGGTAACAATTTCTAAACCTGAAGATAAAGTTTTATGGTAATGATAATATGAATATTCTAGTTTCATTCTTTTTTATTATAGAAGTTTACATATTCTGAGAGGCATATAGTTCCATGTTTATATTTTTGTAGATAATAGTAAAAAGAAAACTAAGAAACTAAGAATAAAAAGGAGTCACCGTGTAGAACCTGTTAATACAGATGACTCTGCTCCTAAGAGTCCAACACCACCCCCACCTCCTCCTCCTGGTGAGTAAATTGATATTGATACTGAACTTAGAAATGCTGCTTTAAACAGGAAAAAGAAAGACATTTTGTTGTTTTGTTCAGTATGTTTATTATTTTGTGAATTTTTGAAAAAGGCAGTTTTCTCTACTTTGTTCAAAATTTATTGTAAATTATGTATTCTCTTTTTTTAATCAGAAAAAAAAAGTTTCCTAAAAGTAAAAAAAAAAAAAAAAAGTACATAAAATTAATAAGAACACTTCACCCAAGCACCTCCTAGAATGGATTCAAGTCCTGCTTGAAATATCAGTACCCAGGTTGCTAAAAGGAAGTTAAGTTTAATAAGTGGATGGCTAATGTAAGTTTTTTAAAAGTTGGATCTTTTATCCTGAAAGTTAACATTTGAAATCAAGATGCATGAATTTTTCCAATATATTTCCAACATACATACTGACCTTCTAAGTTGTTACGTGATTTAAAGGAATATTGCATGTAAAACACCGGGACGTGCTAATTGCTCAATAACTGTGAGAAATTTTTCAGCACCAGGCACAGTACCTCACATACCATAGGTGCTAAATAAATATCTAAATGTATATGTTTATAGTGTCCTTTTAGCTCTGTTAGAAGGCTTGAGGCGATAACATTTTTCTTTGAGAATTATTTTAAGATTCAATTTCTAGTATTTCATTTATTAGTAAACATTTCCGTTAGCCTTTGCGAGGGCTTGGAATAGTAGCCTAAGGTAATTTTTGATGGTGGTGAAGATGCTTATATTTTTTAACTAAAGGTATAAAGTAAAAACTTAAAGCAGATGTTATCAGCCTATAATTACATTTTTAAATAAAAACTATTTCAATGGCTTTGTGGCTATTCAGTACCATTCAATATACATATAGGACTTGACATCAGATATAATATACATTCCTGTCAAGGGAGGGAGCCTCTCAAAAGGCATAGAGACATTGTTTAACAGTGTTTTAAAATGTTTTTCTTTTTCTTTAGTTGGCTGGGGAACCCTTAAAGTCACTAGACTTCCAAAACTTGAGCCTCTTGGTGAAACACGTCATAATGGTAATGCAACAGGATCAGTTTTCAAATATACATATTCCATCCATTTTTCTTTACCTCATTACTTCAACAAACTTTTATTTTTGGAAGCCTTTCAAATCCACAACCATCCTTTTTCATTATGCTTCACTTTTTTCATTTTATTTATTTTTATTCTTTAGTGACTTTTGCCTCCATATAATTTGTTTACCTTGGAATACAGATGTAAAAATAATCACATTTTGTGTTTATCCATTACATATTTATGTAAATTGTTATGAGAAGTGAACATTTATAAGGCAATTTAAATATGAGACATTACAATAATGCTTAGTACTAAAAACAGCATTGTCCTATATGTGCTTAGTATACTCAGTAATGCCACATAATTATTCTTTCTCTTTTCTAATAAGACCCAGCTGCTGAATATTAAAGTGAAGTAAAGATCAACACAATTTATAAAATCAGAGACTAAATCAGTAAACCAAATAAAGTCCAGCTAAATAGAAAGTTACTAAAGCCTTTTTGACTCAAGAAAATAGGTTGTTTTGGATTAAATTAACACAAGGTGTAGGCCCACCAATATATAGCATTAGAACTCCACAACTGGAAAACTAGAGAAAGGACAGTTGGGTATAGAGAACTACCTGATACAGCAGGCAGATGTTCTAATTTTAGACCATCAGCTGAGGCTCTTTCAATAAAATGTTTCTAGAATGCAAAAGGATAATTACATATATATTGTAGCTCAATAAAGTTCTCCATCAAGAATATTTAATTCTTTTTCTGATGGCTCTATTTACCTAATCTAGAACTTGGATTCCCAAGGAAACCCATTTATTAGGAAAAAAAGTCAGAAGTTTAACAAAAGCATTATTGTGTAACTTGAAATTATATCAAGCTTTATAAAATATTTTTATTCAAAAAGTACATAATTATAAATGACCTGTTTGCTTTCTTTTTCAGAATAGTATAGGTTAGTAATAAAATACACCTTTCATAATTATTAGTGAAAATTAAAGGATTTTTTTCATTTCTAAATACCAAAAAGTTTGTCCTTAGACTACATCAGCATTACAGTAAATCACATCTCTGAATGACTGACTTTGCCTCATGATGTTTTTATTGACTGTAATGTAAGTTTGTGTTTAATGATACTCAAATTGTGTATATTAGAGTGCATTATCAGTAAAGTTAATATAGTTGTGTATGTATGCATATGTGTTTGTACACATATATAGAAAAGTACTAATTTCTCATAGAACAGATATTTTTTCTCTTACTGAATTTTAGGCATCCGAAAAGTAACCTTTTTGTATTTGACACCACCTAAAACATTGGTGATTCCAAGATGAAGAAGACATGATTTCTGCCTTTTTGCAGATACTAGATACTAGTCTAAGTAATATTTGATGGAATGGATATATGCAGTGAGGCAGGGGAGAGAGGATAGAGGATGTGGTGGTGTGGAATTGAAGCACTGCATGGACAGTTAGTGAAAGTGATGTCACAACTGATGTCACAACTGTTAGTGAAAGTGATGTCCTTCAAAGGAGGAGAAGGCAGTAAGCAGAAGAAGCAGACTCTTCAAAGGTAGAAGAGTGGGAAAGGGTGTTGCTTATTTGGAAAATAAAGTTCTTGTATTTGGAGCTTAGATTTATGTGGGTAGGGTGGTGGGTAAGAAAGAAGACATTTGAAGTTAGAGTTTTGAAATTGGAATTATGGCTTAGGACCAGATTGTGAAAGGCCTCACATATCTGTTAAGGTGTCTGGACTTGCTATAATTTTCCAAGAGATATTACACATTTTTGAGCAGAGAAGTAGCTGTGTTGTTTAGGAAAATAATTTTTGTCACAGTGAAAAGCACAGACTTCATGGTGGCCACATTTGAGGTAAGATCCCATCTAAGAAGCTGTTGTAATAGTCAGAGTGAGAAGTGAGGAATGGAAATTGGAATGGAGAATAAAAGATGAGAATAAAAATGTATGCAGGGGGCAGGCCCAGTGGCTCAGTAGTTTAGTGTTGCCTTCAGCCCAGGGTGTGATCCTGGAGACCAGGGATCTAGTCCCACATCGGGCTCCCTGCATGGAGCCTGCTTCTCCCTCTGCCTGTGTCTCTGCCTCTCTCTCTCTCTCTCTCTCTCTCTCTGTGTGTGTGTCTCTCATGAATAAATAAAATCTTTTTAAAAATGTATGCAGGAAATAATGATTATAATAAGTAATATTTGATGGAATGGATATATGCAGTGAGGCAGGGGAGAGAGGATAGAGGATTATTTACTCAAGCAGCTTGAAAGTTGGTGCTGTCTCTAAGACTGAAAATACTTAGAGAAGGAAACCTGCTTTGGAGTTATCTGTAGGCTTATCTATTGGAAATGTCTCTTAGGCAATACAAATGAGATGCAAGAGTTCAGAAGAAAAGAAGGGACCCTGGCGGGTGAAGGGTGTGCAGATAGATTTTTTTATTTTTAGTTGTCTTCTCACAATAGAAATTCTTTGCCCGTAATAGATGCTCTGTAATCTTTAACTGAATGAATGCAGAAGAAGATGATAATTTGTTTCTGAAGGAAATTTTGTAGAATGAGGCGAAAAGAGGTGATGGGTAGCATCCTAGGGGAACAGTTAAGGGCAAATGAATAAAGGTAAAAAATAGGTTAAGAAGGTTGTTTTGTTTTGTTTGTGCTCATTTTCCTGTGTTTGTTTTTAAATTAAACTTCTGAGAAAGAATTGTAATAAATCAGCTAAATTTAAGACCCCCAAATCCCAATATTTTAGTCAGTTTTCAGTATATGTCAATAAATGTAGCTTCCCAGAGCAAAGAAGACACTAGAACTCCACAAGTTTTAAAATATCTTTATTGTTTTCTTCCTTCCCATAAATTTTAAGTCTAAGTGTACCTAAGCTGGGTTTTAAAAAAAAAAAAAGTACAATCAACTCTGCTTCATTAGTGGGGAAGAAAGCAGTTATAATTAAAAATTCTAATAAAAAACCTTAAATTTGTTTTTATGGTTTATTGGGAGATCTTCATCAGAGATGCTGATAGCTGCCGGTTTTATAATTTCATCCTCCTCTTTTCTCTTTGTATACATTTCTTTGCATTTGGTTAATGGCAAGTAAACAACAGATACATGATGAACTAGAGTAGTAATTAAAAGTCAACTGCAAATGACTTGGCACTTTAAATTTACTGGGATGAAAAACAGTTTTTTATAGTCACATTGGGAATTTTTAAGGCAAATCCTTACTTGTTTGTTGATAATAGACATTTACTTTGATAGCAATTTGAATTTACTTGCCTTTTTATTGTCCATAATGCTTGCTTAGTTTAACAGGTAAGACTTGAGAAGTGAGACCTAAAAAGAGTATCTATGTTTACTGCATAAACACTCAATCCATAATTCATTAACATGTGTTACACATTATGAGAACTATGTCAAGGATTCGTTATTTATTCAAGAGACAGACAGAGACACAGGCAGAGGGAGAAGCAGGCTCCATGCACCGGGAGCCCGACGCGGGATTCGATCCCGGGTCTCCAGGATTGCACCCTGGGTCAAAGGCAGGCGCTAAAACGCTGTGCCACCCAGGGATCCCTGTCACTGTATTTTGAACAATTAATCTTTTTGATCAATTAAGAATAAGAAAAATACATTTTCATTTTACTTATTTCTTCTGCAATACCTTTTCTTTCTTTATGTAGATCTGAGTTTCTGACCTGTATTATTTTCCTTCTCTCTAAAGAATTTTTTTTAACATTCCTTGCAAAGCAAATCTGATACCCAAAATAAATTTCCTCAGTTTTTGTTTGTCTGAGAAAGTCTTTATTTTTCTTTGCTTTTGAAGGACAAATTTGTAGGGTACAGAATTCTAGGCTGGTGTGGTTTTTTTCCCTCTAATCTCTAGAGGTTTTTTTCCTTTTCCACCTCTAAAAACCTCTTACAGGTTTTTAGACCTCTAAACAGGTTAAATATTTCACTTTACTTTCTCCTTGCTTGCATGGTGTCTGAAGAAAAGTTGGATGTAATTCTTATCTTTGATCCTCTGTTGGAAAGGTGTTCCCCCCCCATCTGTCCCCCCCCCCCCGCTTCTTTAAGGATTTTTCCTTTTCTTTGATTTTCTGTAGTTTGAAAATGATGTGCCCAGATATCGTTTGTTTGGCATTTATCCTGCTCAGTGTTCTCTGGATTCCTTCATCTGTTCTTTGATGTCTGACAGTTTGGGGGAAATTCTTAGTCATTATTGCTTCAAATACTGCTGCTTTTCGTTTTCTCTTCTTCTGGTTTTCCATTACAAATAAGGTAATGCCTTTTGTACTTGTCCCATGGTCATTGGATATTCTCTTCTGGGTTTTTTTCCAGTCTTTGTTCTTTGCTTTTCAAAATTTCTAAGGGTTTTATTGATTCATTCTCAAGCTCAGAGGTTCTTTCCTCAGTTGTGTCCAGTCTACTAATAAGCCCATCAAAGACATTCTTCATTTCTGTAACAGTTTTTTTTTTTTTTAAATCTCTAGCACTTTTTTTTTCTTTTTGGTTCTTTCTTAGGATTTCCATTTCTCTGCTTACATTGCTATCTGTCCTTGCATGCTGTCTACTTTATCCACTAAAGCTCTTAGCTAATTAATCATAGTTGTTTTAAATTCCTGGCCTGATAATTCGAGCATTCCTGCCTTGCCTTGTGTTGATGCTTTATCTGTCTCTTCAGATTTTGTTTTGTTTTTTGCCTTTTTCAGAATGCCTTGTTTTTGTTTTGTTTTATAGTCTGATATGGTGTTCCAAGTGAGAGGCACTGCTGTAAATTGGCCTTTAGTGATATGGTGGTGGTACGTGGTGGAAGGAGACGTGTTCTATATTTCTGTGATTAGATCTCAGTCTTTAGTGAGCCTGTGTCTCTGGACTGTGACCTTCACAAGAGTTTCTTGGTTTTTTTCTTTCCCATTAGGTGGACAAAATGGATAGTGCCAGATGGAATTGGTGATTTCCTTCCCTGGGTCAGTTAGGGTTTGATGCTACCCAGTAGTTAGGCTCTCGTTGACTAGTTTCCTCTCAGGGCAGGCCTTGGGCCCCAGAATAGAGTGCTCTGGGGTAATTCAAAATGATTTCCTTTATTCCTCCCCTGCCAAAAGTAGGAGGGGATTTTTTTTCTCCAATATTTATTGTGGGAATTTGTTCGTGTTCTTGGAGATAAATCTCACAATATTGCAGGGATCATCTTATGACTTAGTCCCCCTGGAGTTTTTAACTCTCAGATTTGTTCCTACTAAGCCTCCAGCAATTCATCAGTTGAACTTCAGGTTTTCCTACATGGTCCCTGGTTCCTCTGGTAGTTTCTATTCATGAATATAAGCTCTGGTAAACTGAAGCTCCCTATATATTTGCCTGTCTGTCTCCAGGATTGGGACAGTGGTTTGTCTTGTGACCTCCCCTCTTAGGAAAATGAGACGAGTTGTTGATTTTTTAGTCTGTTCAGCCTTTTACTTCTTCTTAGGATGGAGTGGTGACTCCTAATCTCCTTAAATGCTGTTATGACTTTGTTAACATTTGTTAAGTAGGGCCCCTGGATGCCTTCTTTCAAAAAGACCACAGGGGAAATTGAAATAGAAGTGTATTACTCACAGGTTTCACAGGGGGCGGTGGAGGCAGGGTGCAGGCAGAGAGAGCTATCGGAACTGGGGCATATGCCAAGTCCAGATTGGTGAGATCAAGACAAAAAAGAAGGTAGTTTTATAAGCTCCACCAGGGTCTTATCTAACAGAAAGCCCTAGAAGGTGAGGGAGACTGTTGATCATAGAGGGCACTGAGGAAGTTATATCAGGAACTTATATTTACCTGTAACCTTGCAGGCTGTGATCTAGGCCATGTGTTTATTTGCATGAGGGGCTCATTAGCTAGACTCTCAACATATGTGAATCTGGGAAACAGGCCTCTAGTAAATTTTCAATATATTTATTTCAAGTGATCCTAAAAATCTATGCTGCTAGAATATTTTTAAGGTAATAGGTTAGAAAATACTTACTGAAGATTTACATATGCTATTAAATTTAAGCCAATTTATAATTTTAAGGGACAGGAACTTACTTTGAAATGAAAATAAGACTTTCTTTGTTTCAAATATGCCTTAAATCACTGAATTATAGTGAAGTATCACTGTAAAAGATTACTACTTACTAGAAAACTAAGATGACTAATTATTGTCCCAAAATATCTACAAGTAATAGCCACTGGATGAAAACATGGATTGTACAAATACAGACCTATCAGGGCCTTGGCAATAGGTTTCATAGATTTTGAATATTTGTTATTTGTTTTATTCTAATGTGAAAGTATAATTGGAAATAAAAATAGTATATAGGTTAGATATTAAATCAAGTAGAAATTAATTTATAATCTAGAGTTAAGAATTTATCCTACTAGTTGTTTTGAATTTATTCAAGTTTTCTTGGATTTTGAATTTTTTTTTGTCTGTTCTCCTTATCCATTATTTTACCCATCAAGTCGGAGCATCTTTACTCTTTTAAAGGTGTTGGTTGGAAAACAATGAATTATATCAAAAAATTTGACTTACTCTGTGTCTTGGTATAACTTCTTCATGTAGATTTCTATGGAAAGCCATTGCCTCCCCTGGCTGTGCAACAGAGACCTAACAGTGATGCTCATGATGTGATTTCATAACCAAGTCGCATGGATGCACTCTTCTAATATAGGCAAGATCCACTAGAGGACCTTCTTTCTCAAAGAAGAAGAAAAACCCAAAACATTGATGACTGGGGCAAGATAACCATAGTATGATTTCTGTAAGGCGATGAATAGTCAAAGACCTGACTGATCTGACAACTATCCATGTTATTCATTTTTTGTTGTTGTTGTTTTTGTTTTTTGTTTTGTTGTTTTTTTTTTTTTTTTTAAGGAAGCAAAATGACCAGTAGATGGGATGAGGATTTGAATCAATTTAGCAGGAGTTACTGTTGACTCTGGATTTTACAGTCCCACTCATGGGCATATTCCTGAAGGAAAACCTTTTTACAAAAAGAGCCGATGGACTCCCTACTTTCTTTACTATTTGTTTAATAGTCTTTATTACTGTATCTTACATATTTTTTTGTAAGATATATGTGCATGGAAGGGGAACTCTTGGGAATTTATAACCTAAGTTTTTAACTTTTTATATTTTTCTACAACTTAAAAGAATTTTAATTACCATGATATTGACTGCACTTTTCTATAAATGGTTTGTTTAAATTGTGTCTGGAAATGGAGTTGATTTACTTGACAAACATGAACTATACAAACAGGATGTATTTATATGGCTTCAGGTATGTTTTATAAGAGTATTGTCCTTGAATTATACATCTTAATTTTACTTAATTTTAAAATAATACCTTTTTAAAATAGGTTCTTAGATCTTTATTCTTCCAAATTATGTTATCTGAAAACACTACCCAAGGAGGGCTCCATTTTTTTGTTGTTGTTTGCTTTTTTTTGGTGATCAGATAAATGAAAGAGACTTGAAATACTTTCTTGATCTAAGTGCTTTTTAAATTAATTAAATGTTATGTTGAGATATTATTAAAATTCTCAATGAACACCTCTTTCATAGGATAGACCTTTTCAGATCTAGGTGCTCCTTGTCACTCTCATTCTATCAGAAGCCACAGTGACTCGTTTAGGTTATTCTAATTCTTTTGTGCCTTTAAAATAAAGGCAAAAAGACTGAAAAAGCCACTGTGGGTACAGAGACTTGTGTTTTATAATCAGATAATGCTTGTATACTAAGTCAATAAGAACAAAAATGTTGGTTTAAAATTACTTTTATAAGGAAATAAATCTAAAATAATTTCCCAATTTAAAAGAATAGCACTTCTCTTGCACTGAAGAATGTCATCTATAGGATTCTCTAGGCAAACTTTGAGAAATATATTTTGAGTAATAGATTTATAATGTTGCATTTAATTGAAAGTATATACATTTATATCAAGGTGAAAATGCTATAAACAATATGACTCCTTTTCACTTTATTAAAATTGGTAAGTTTGGTAACTTGTACTGACAACAAACATAACTAGTATCTAACAATAACAAGATTAAGTATGTCTAAGGCAGTTTAATATGATTGTTTATTTTAAAAATTTTACTTTGGTGCATCACATTTTTTAAGTCCCTGAACTTTCCTTAATCAGGTCGCTTATTACTCTAGTCAGCATCAGAATGCAGTTTCTTGAAATTCTGGGCATAGGACATCAGGGACACTGAGTAAAAAACATTCTACTTCAGATATAAAATCATAACACCCTAAATTTGATAGGTGGCCGAAATGTAACGAAACCAACACAAGAAGATAGAATGTAAATTTTGAACTTAATTTTAGAGAAAAACTTGTTTGTGTATCTTTTTGGTTCCTGTGTGTAACATTTACACTTACTCATTTTTTTTTAAACACTAAACCTATACTCTTGTCATCTTTTTAATTTTCATCTAGTTTAAGAGTAAATAAAATTCTAAAATTTTTTTTATTTCCTATAAGTGATTACTGTAGTAGACAGTAATACTGTTCATTTATTAAAAATGAGTAAAAATGATTTTGAAACTAAATACGATAAAGTAAATGTTTATATATTTCTCTCAAAAGATTAATTTGTATTCTTAAAGCATTCTAAAAATATTTTAAAAGAAGTTTTGTAAATCCAGGTTGCTTTTAACAAGTAAATGCCTTTTATGTCATATGCTGCATTTTTATTCTTAATCATCACAAATACTGACATTTTCACACAATAAAAATAATATATATCAATATGCTGTTTTGTTTCTCATTTGATAAATTTACATGATTTTTTTGGTAACAAAATGGAAAAGGAATTTTCAAACATGAATGTTAGAAGAAATCTTGTCAATAGACTAAAATAATGATAATGAGTTTTTATTTTACATGAAACTTGTTTTCTCTTCACAAGTTTGCATAAATGTGAAAAAGAGTATTGTCATTTGAAAGACAGCTAAAAATAACGTCATATCACCTTTTGGTCCTAGATGATCCAATGTCTGTTTTTTGTTAAGTTAAAGCTACTGACCCAAAAATTATATTTTTACTTAAAGGATAATTCTATATGCCTTTTCCACAAAAGGCATTTATATCGTGTATATAATATTGTATGTAGTTGATTTTAAGTATAAAACTATGAAAGTGACCCTAGAAAGAAATGTTATAAAATGTTAATCATGAGTTTTTTTAGTTATTGGTTGTATGTGTTCCTCAAGTTTTTTTAATAAATTTATTTTTTATTGGTGTTCAATTTACCAACATACAGAATAACACCCAGTGATCATCCCGTCAAGTGCCCCCCTCAGTGCCCGTCACCCATTCACCCCCACCCCCGCCCTCCTCCCCTTCCACCACCCCTAGTTCGTTTCCCAGAGTTAGGAGTCTCTCATGTTCTTTCTCCCTCTCTGTATTTCCCACTCATTTTCTCTCATTTCCCCTTTATTCCCTTTCACTATTATTTATATTCCCCAAATGAATGAGAACATACACTGTCCTTCTCCGATTGACTTACTTCACTCAGCATAATACCCTCCAGTTCCATCCACGTTGAAGCAAATGGTGGGTATTTGTCGTTTCTAATGGCTGAGGAATATTCCATTGTATACATAGACCACATCTTCTTTATCCATTCATCTTTCGATGGGCACCGAGGCTCCTTCCACAGTTTGGCTATTGTGGACATGGCTGCTAGAAACATCGGGGTGCAGCGGTTCACTGCATCTGTATCTTTGGGGTAAATCCCCAGCAGTGCAATTGCTGGGTCGTAGGGCAGGTCTATTTTTAACTCTTTGAGGAACCTCCACACAGTTTTCCAGAGTGGCTGCGCCAGGTCACATTCCCACCAACAGTGTAAGAGGGTTCCCGTTTCTCCGCATCCTCTCCAATATTTGTGGTTTCCTGCCTTGTTAATTTTCCCCATTCTCACTGGTGTGAGGTGGGATCTCATTGTGGTTTTGATTTGGTTTTGATTTCCCTGATGGCCAGTGATGCGGAGCATTTTCTCATGTGCTTGTTGGCCATGTCTATGTCTTCCTCTGTGAGATTTCTCTTCATGTCTTTTGCCCTTTTCATGATTGGATTGTTTCTTTGCTGTTGAGTTTATTTATTTATTTTTTAAAAATTTTATTTATTTATTATTTATGATAGAGAGAGAGAGAGAGGCAGAGACACAGGAGGAGGGAGAAGCAGGCTCCATGCTGGGAGCCCAATGTGGGACTCGATCCCAGGACTCCAGGATTGCACCCTGGGCCAAAGGCAGATGCCAAACCGCTGAGCCACCCAGGGATCCCCCTGCTGTTGAGTTTAATAAGTTCTTTACAGATCTTGGATACTAGCCCTTTATCTGATACGTCATTTGCAAATACCTTCTCCCATTCTGTAGGTTGTCTTTTAGTTTTGTTGACTGTATCCTTTGCTGTGCAAAAACTTCTTATCTTGATGAAGTCCCAATAGTTCATTTTTTGCTTTTGTTTCTTTTACCTTTGTGGATGTATCTTGCAAGAAGTTACTGTGGCCGAGTTCAAAAAGGGTGTTGCCTGTGTTCTCCGCTAGGATTTTGATGGACTCTTGTCTCACATTTAGATCTTTCATCTATTTTGAGTTTATCTTTGTGTATGGTACAAGAGAGTGGTCCAGTTTCATTCTTCTGCATGTGGATGTCCAATTTTCCCAGCACCATTTCTTGAAGAGACTGTCTTTCTTCCAGTGGATAGTCTTTCCTCCTTTATTGAATATTAGTTGGCCATACAGTTGAGGGTCCACTTCTGGGTTCTCTATTCTGTTCCATTGATCTATGTGTCTGTTTTTGTGCCAGTACCACACTGTCTTGATGACCACAGCTTTGTAGTACAACCTGAAATCTGGCATTGTGATGCTCCCAGCTCTGGTTTTCTTTTTTAAAATTCCCCTGGCTATTCAGGGTCTTTTCTGATTCCACACAAATCTTAAAATAATTTGTTCTAAGTCTCTGAAGAAAGTCCATGGTATTTTGATAGGGATTGCATTAGACGTGTAAATTGCCCTGGGTAGCATGGACATTTTCACAATATTAATTCTGCCAGTCCATGAGCATGGAATATTTTTCCATCTCTTTGTGTCTTCCTCAATTTCTTTCAGAAGCGTTCTATAGTTTTTAGGGTATAGATCTTTACCTCTTTGGTTAGGTTTATTCCTAGGTATCTTATGCTTTGGGGTGCAATCGTAAATGGGATTGACTCCTTAATTTCTCTTTCTTCAGTCTCATTGTTAGTGTATAGAAATGCCATTGATTTCTGGGCATTGATTCTGTATCCTGCCACGCTACCAAATTGCTGTGTGAGTTCTAGCAATCTTGGGGTGGAGGCTTTTGGGTTTTCTATGTAGAGTATCATGTCATCGGCGAAGAGGGAGAGTTTGACTTCTTCTTTGCCAATTTGAATGCCTTTAATGTTTTTTTGTTGTCTGATTGCTGAGGCTAGGACTTCCAATACTATGTTGAATAGCAGTGGTGAGAGTGGACATCCCTGTCTTGTTCCTGGTCTTAGGGGAAAGGCTCCCAGTGCTTCCCCATTGACAATGATATTTGCTGTGGGCTTTTCGTAGATGGCTTTTAAGATGTCAAGGAAAGTTCCCTCTATCCCCACACTCTGAAGAGTTTTGATCAGGAATGGATGCTGTATTATGTCAAATGCTTTCTCTGCATCTATTGAGAGGATCATATGGTTCTTGGTTTTTCTCTTGCTGATATGATGAATCACATTGATTGTTTTACGAGTGTTGAACCAGCCTTGTGTCCCGGGGATAAATCCTACTTGGTCATGGTGAATAGTTTTCTTAGTGTACTGTTGGATCCTATTGGCTAGTATCTTGTTGAGAATTTTTGCATCCATGTTCATCAGGGATATTGGTCTGTAATTCTCCTTTTTGGTGGGGTCTTTGTCTGGTTTTGGAATTAAGGTGATGCTGGCCTCATAGAACGAATTTGGAAGTACTCCATCTCTTTCTATCTTTCTAAACAGCTTTAGTAGAATAGGTATGGTTTCTTCTTTAAACGTTTGATAGAATTCCCCTGGGAAGCCATCTGGCCCTGGACTTTGTGTCTTGGGAGGTTTTTGATGACTGCTTCAATTTCCTCACTGGTTATTAGCCTGTTCAAGTTTTCTATTTCTTCCTGTTCCAGTTTTGGTAGTTTGTGGCTTTCCAGGAATGCGTCCATTTCTTCTAGATTGCCTAATTTATTGGCGTAGAGCTGTTCATAATATGTTTTTAAAATCGTTTGTATTTCCTTGGTGTTGGTAGTGATCTCTCCTTTCTCATTCATGATTTTATTAATTTGAGTCTTCTCTCTCTTCTTTTTAATAAGGTTGGCTAATGGTTTATCTATCTTATTAATTCTTTCAAAGAACCAACTCCTGGTTCTGTTGATCTGTTCCACAGTTCTTCTGGTCTCGATTTCGTTGAGTTCTGCTCGAATCTTTATTAACTCTCTTCTTCTGCTGGGTGTAGGATCTATTTGCTGTTTTTTCTCTAGCTCCTTTAAGTGTAAGGTTAGTTTTTGTATTTGAGTTCTTTCCAGTTTTTGAATGGATGCTTGTATTGCGATGTATTTCCCCGTCAGGAATGCTTTTGCTGCATCCCAAAGATTTTGAACGGTTCTATCTTCATTCTCATTAGTTTCCATGAATCTTTTTAATTCTTCCTTAATTTCCTGGTTGACCCTTTCATCTTTTAGCAGGATGGTCCTTAACCTCCACGTGTTTGAGGTCCTTCCAAACTTCTTGTTGTGATTTAGTTCTAATTTTAAGGCATTATGGTCTGAGAATATGCAGGGGACGATCCCAATCTTTTGGTATCGGTTCAGACCCGATTTGTGACCCAGTATGTGGTCTATTCTGGAGAAAGTTCCATGTGCACTTGAGAAGAATGTGTATGAGTTTGGATGTAAAGTTCTGTAGATATCTGTGAAATCCATCTGGTCCAGTGTATCATTTAAAGCTCTCGTTTCTTTGGAGATGTTGTGCTTAGAAGATCTATCAAGTATAGAAAGCGCTAGATTGAAGTCACCAAGTATAAGTGTATTATTATCTAAGTATTTCTTCAGTTTGGTTATTAATTGATTTAAATATTTGGCAGCTCCCACATTCGGGGCATATATATTGAGGATTGTTAAGTCCTCTTGCTGGATAGATCCTTTAAGTATGATATAGTGTCCCTCTTCATCTCTCACTACAGTCTTCGGGGTAAATTTTAGTTTATCTGATATGAGGATGGCTACCCCTGCATCTTTTGAGGACCATTTGAATGGTAAATGGTTCTCCAACCTTTTATTTTCAGGCTGTAGGTGTCCTTCTGTCTAAAATGAGTCTCTAGTAGACAGCAAATAGACAGGTCCTGCTTTTTTATCCAGTCTGAAACCCTGTGCCTTTTGATGGGGTCATTAAGCCCATTCACGTTCAGAGTTACTATTGAAAGATAGAGTTTAGGGTCATCATGATATCTATTCAGTCCTTGTTTTTGTGGATTGTTCCACTGAACTACTTCTTAGAGGGGAGTTTTAAGAGTCCCCCTTAAAATTTCTTGCAGAGCTGGTTTGGAGGTCACATATTCTTTCAGTTCCTGCCTGTCTTGGAAGCTCTTTATCTCTCCTTCCATTTTGAATGAGAGCCTTGCTGGATAAAGTATTCTTGGTTGCATGTTCTTCTCATTTAGGACCCTGAATATATCCT